GGGGGTGTCAGTCAGAGATGCCACCCAAGTCTCATAGCACCAGCCCCTCACTGACCCTCTGCAGGTGGTGAGTCCACAGGAGGACGGCTGCTCTCTGAGTGTGAGCAGAGCCTTGATCTTTCAGTGGGGGCTTTATACTTTGATTAAGTATAAATCAAACTTGATAAATAGCAGTAAAACAATTATGAATCGTGGATTGCCCAGCTCTCTACTGTCATCATTTATTGAAGTTATGGTTAAAAAGGACCATGGCTTTGTAGACGGCTGGTAGTCATGGTAACAAAGTAGTTCATGGTTAAACTCACGTGGCACAAGCTGGTCCTCATCATTTGGAACTGATCGATCAACTTCTTGTGCAGGGGACGCATTTCAGGGTGCACCAACTTTTCATGGACCGCTAAGCCAACTCCCAGGATGTGCACCTAAGAGAAAATACAAGTTTAAAAGTGAAAATACTATGTTTTTCCCCCGATAAGTATGTTTATATTGGAGGTACCTGGTCCTGCATGAGGTCTTTGAGCTGCGTGATCTTGTCGGTGTCTTCAGGGTGACTGGTGATGTACTCTTTATCAAAGAAAGCCTTAACAAACACAAATGCTATATTAGTTTAAAGTACAGTAGTAATATGTAAGATTTTCATGTCAAGGGCCCTAATCTGTTAATGGCCATAAATCATGCTCTTTTCCAATACTTTAACTGATAACATTAGTTCAGCTAAGATTGGATTTCAAAATTAGTTTTACAGCCCCTAAATCTTGTTATTGTTTTCATTTTGACGTCCCGCCCTCCACCGTTTCACCAATCAGAAAGTCTGTGATCCGGGTTCCCAGAGCTCACTGTGTTGAGCTAATCTCACTGGTAAAGTAACATGTGGCTGCAGAACTAAAAAAGGTCTTGTGATTCTCAAATCATTAATGACAAAACATGGAATAAAATGAGAATTTCTATCGGGGCCTTTGTGGAAAAGATGTTAGTTATAGATTTGTTGATGAAAAACTCTTGTCTATTCAGCTGTTATGGTCCCAGCTGGATTCGTCTGCATATCTGGCAACCAGAGAGACAGGGAGAGTGGAATAGGTTGCAGCACCACTTTTGGCCAGATTTATGTACTGCTCCTTTAAATTGAGCCTTCAGCTGTTTTCCAGGTTTGAAAAAAGAAAAGAAAATGGAGTTTAATCGATTATTCTGTGCAAAACTATAGAGCTAAACAGGTGGCTCGGTGCACATTCAAAGTCCATTGCAAAATAATAATCTTTAATACATGTGTATATATTACAGTAGATGTTTATGTGAGCGTGGCCCACCTCTTGGTAGCGAGCGATGCCCCCGTTCACGGCGGCGTCGATGACTCCGTTCAGGGTCATACTGAGCAGGTTGATGTTCCCCTGCAGCTGTTTGTGCTGATACTGACTGATCAGAGTACGTAGCTCCTGGTTCTTGTTCTCCACCACACTGACGGCGTTCTCCAGAGGACTCACCTCCACCTGTTACAAGGATTCACTGAGATTTGACATGTTTTCTTAGAGCACTGCAGAGAAAATACTGGTAAAAATGTAATGTATTGACTTTTGAATTTTGAATGAGCTTGAATTTTTCCGTTAGAATTCTTTTACCTTGTTTAAATACTTTGGTCTTTGCATTTCAATCACTAAAAAAATCAGTTTATACATTTCAAAATGACATATTTGCCTTTAAAACCACCAGTATGTTTATTCTTGAGCCCTCGAATTCAATGCACTGGGAAATTTGACGAAAGACGGATAAAGATTTTGAATTCTTTTATTTGAATTCTTTAACATCTTACAGTAAATATTTTGTCTGCGAATTTCAGACCCTGATTATAAATTGCATAATGTTTTAAATTTGAAAATATTTATACAAAAATCTCCTTCAAACTAGTGAAGCATACATTATCAAGCGCTTAAATTCAACAGTCTAAATAGAAAGAATCGTCCATAACAATAACACACACAAATATAACTAAGAAACCCCGCGTAGCTGTTCAAGGACAGTTTGCACTTTCTCTATCTTGTTTTTTTTTTTAAAGAAGAATATTTACCATTGGTCAATCTTTATTTAAGGCAGTCAGAATGTGCTCAAATAAAGATACATTTGGGCAAATTTGAGATTTTATTTTTTTTAAAGTTTAATTTTCATAATTTTTAGCAGTGCACAAGTTGAGTATTTATTCTGAATGATTTTTTCTGACACTGAATGTACATCTGCTGGTCACCGCTAAATTGACCTACATTATTCCAGGTTCAAGTCTGGTTGTGTTTATGCAGAATTACACTCTAGCCTCCAGAGGTCCGTGATCTAAATCATCACATACAACTTTATAACCCCTCATTTCTCAATTGTAGTTGTGTATTTTGGGATGTTTATTGATTTGATGTCTCACCAGTTCTCTCTTGTCCACCTCGAACCAGCGTGAGATCCCCGGCAGAGGATGAGTGAGGATTAAGGTCGTCCTCTCTATCCATAGACTCTGAAAAAACACAAAGAAAACCAAATGGCATCATCTGTCGTCAGTCTATAGTAAATAACTACATGTGCTTTTGTAATTTTCAAAGTGGAGAATCCCCCATTTGAGGATGAGAATGTCCAGTTTTTGGCCACACCTTGAACTCGTTGTCCTTGTCTTTGGGCGCCTTGTGAAAGGGCCGGTCGTAGCGGAATCGGCGCACGTTGTTGACTCGGTAAAAGCTTTTGATGCGGTCGGGCACTCGCTCCATCTGCAGCACGCTCACGTTCTCTGGCACCGGAGTCACGGCGTAGATCTGCAGGTCTGAGCCGCCGTCAAGGACCTTTTACAACCACACATGAAGGTCCTCTATCGTTGGGAGAGGCTTAGGGCAAGACCAGGAACTAAGTCAACCCAACATTTAAAGATATGAATGCTGGAATCTGGTTCATGACGGTATTTATCTGTTTTACTTGGCCTATTGTTTATTGAAGTTCAGGTTTTTATCCAAGATGGTGCTGCAGACGTTCGCTAACTCATCACTAGATCCCAGCCCACTGCAATCGTCATTTCTGGCACTTTATAATCTCATACCTCTGGACATAATCTGATAGTCCGTTAATCTGCATGTCCATATGAATAAAGTTGACTTACTTCCGTGCTCACTCACTCACTTACACATTAGAATTGTATAAAGATTGTTTATGCATTTCTTTGTATACATTATTTTTATGTCTTTATAACTTGTTTGCACCATATACCAAAGCAATAGATACATTATAAGGATTGCAACATGAGTTCTTGAATACAGGATACTTTCTATACAGCCACCTGGCCTCACACAAACTATTTCTTACATTTTGTATATCATTTTTAGTTTTTTTCTGTTAATTATTCTAGTAGTTATCTATCTCTTATAAAAAGTTTAAGGGCTCCACCTTTTGTCTGTCACACATCATTATGAAAAAAATTAGAAAAGTGAAATAACATTCTTGACCAATAGAAGTAAACATTTCAAACCCAATCTGTGTGGAAAGAGTAAACCTTAAAGATAGTATGTGAGTCTTGCATTTACATTCTGAAGTCAAATAAGTGAAAGTTGTGCATCTTCACTCTAAACAGTATAAAACCATATTCTCTGAAGGATACACTGCGCGTCACACTGTAGGATGCCCTCGTCTGGCTGGTTCGGGTGCTGCATGGCGATGGCCTGTGGAAACTCTCCCAGCATCCTCTGCTGGAACGCCTCCAGGCGCTCGTAGTCATGGCCACGGCACACAAACTCCTTGTTCTAGTGGGAATGACACAACATGCTTTTTGTAAATAGCTTTTCTTAATCTTTTCTTCAAAGAACACAGAAGCATGGCCAAAGAAAACCTAGAATTACACATAAAGAAATGTAGCCTGGTCTGTAAACTCTGGTTAATTATCAATTCCTACGTGAACCTCTGGGTCTGATCCTAGTGGTTCCAGTTTCCTCTGTTTTATCCCCTCCGACCAATCAGCGAGCAGGGGAGGCGGGTGTTGTAGGTAGGCGAATGCGTTGGCAAAGTAATCCGTTCTGGTTCGGCTCTAAATATCAAGAAATTGAAACCGGAGCAAGAGGAATATGTTGTGGCTCTACTTCCCCGGAAGTGGCAAAGGAGATGGCTTAAGCTAGGCTAAATGCCTCACTCACTTGGGCACATTACATACGTCACAGTAAACTCAGATCCAATTGTTTCCATCTGCAAAAGGAGTTAACCCCTCCCACCTGTAAACGGAGCTCAATAGAGCAAATCCAGATCTTGTTAGTACACAAGGAACTTTGTATGATTGTATGGTAAGACCAGGCTAAAATTGATTAAAATATATATATATAATTTAGAAGGGTAGTAGAATGTTGGTATAATAAAAAGTCATAATAAAGTTAATTTGGACTGACCCGGAGAAAGAAGGGGAACTTTCTGCCATAAAATCCAACTCTGAAAAACTCTGGCTCCAGGCGCTGCTGCTCCATGATGTTGTCGTAATAAGCAGCCTCCATTTTCTGCAACAAGAGAGAAAAGTTAGATTCATGAGATAATTATTGAGTCTTTTAATACTTGATCAAACTGCCCACATGAAATTATGATTGGATTCTTTGTCCATAGAACATTCATTAAAACTCACCCTTATCCAGCTGAGGCTCTGGTAGTCGAACAGAGATTCGTACTGGAAGGCCAGTTCTCTGCACAAGGGTATCCCGAACTCCCAACACTGCAACAGACAAAGAGTTTTTTATACTCTTGTTAAAAGACCTCCATCATTGTTAAGTAAGTAAATAAGCACTCAATATAAATCCCCTTTCACAGACTAAAAACTGGAGCGGGGTCTTAACACAACAGGCTACGTGTTATTAGTGGTAGGGGGAAACCGAAGCACCTGGAGGAAACCAGAGCAGAAGGTTTTATGTGAAGAACAAGAGGTTGCCAATGTGCCACCATGTCAAGTTCCTGCTCCTCTAATTCATTTCTAATAAAATCCAGTAAATAATTTCCAACATTGTGAAACACAACATGGACTTCAGCCGCAGCAGTGGTCCGCAGCAGTGGTCCGTAGGAGTGGTCCGTAGGAGTGGTCCGCAGCAGTGGTCCGTAGCAGTGGTCCGCAGCAGTGGTCCGCAGCAGTGGTCCGCAGCAGTGGTCCGCAGCAGTGGTCCGTAGCAGTGGTCCGCAGCAGTGGTAATGTGAGATTTCATAACACTTTGAAGCAACTTTTGTTAAAGTTAAACTCATCATTCTATCAATGTGCAGAAGCCAGTACTTTTCCCTTGTTTTGTCTATCTGAAGGCCAAGCTACATGGCACTGTGGCAGCTGCTGATTGGAGGTCTCCATGCCTCTGCTCTGTATAATACACTTGGATTCTGTGTTCGTGTTGTTCGTGCTGTCTCTACCATTGACAATAAAACATGTCTTCTGTCTGAATTAAAGACACGATCCCAGACTTTGTCATCTTCTTCAGGTGGTGGAAGGATGTGGGCCTTGTCTGTAACATCTACAGAACAGAAGACTACTTTTTTTACACAAAAAGTTTTTTTTTTTTTCAAGCCAAAACTGAGAAACCTCAAGAGAAACCATGCATCTGGACCAGCACACTTGAACAATCTGCACAGCCCCTGATTCCAGTCAGGCTGTGAGCTGCTGAGACATGGACAATACCATCGTCCTCTTTTGCATGGACACCATTTGGAACAATTGGATTACACAATTTGGACATAATTTGGACTGAATTGAATTGCTGAATCTGGACACTAAAGCTGAAACGTGTGATTGAAAGACACGTCACAGAAGAATTCATGGCTCGACACAAATGCAGCCTGAAGAAATCAACACGGAGAAGTGGGAGAGACTGTGCTCAAAGCAATATCTGGAACCACCATCGACTGATGAAGTTTGGTATTTTACTGAAGATTGTTGACAAGTTTTATGAAAGATCTGAAAATGTTTTATGAGTTTAAGTATTGAGTTCCGAGTTCTGAGTTTTATGAAGTACCGAGTGAAGTACCGAGTTTATGAGTTTTTGAAGTATTGAGTTATGATGTTATGTTGCTGTTTATCGATCCTGATGGTCACACGTGAATGTGTGACCAGAGGGGGGAATGTGAGATTTCATAACACTTTTAAGCAACTTTTGTTAAAGTTAAACTCATCATTCTATCAATGTGCAGAAGCCAGTACTTTTCCCTTGTTGTGTCTATCTGAAGGCCAAGCTACATGGCACCGTGGCAGCTGCTGATTGGAGGTCTCCATGCCTCTGCTCTGTATAATACACTTGCATTCTGTTGTTCGTGTTGTTCGTGCTGTCTCTACCATCGACAATAAAACATGTCTTCTGTCTGAATGAAAGACGCGATCCCAGACTTTGTCATCTTCTTCAGTCCGTAGGAGTGGTCCGCAGCATTGGTCCGTAACAGTGGTCCGCAGCAGTGGTCCGTAGCAGTGGTCCGCAGCAGTGGTCCGCAGCAGTGGTCCGCAGCATTGGTCCGTAGCAGTGATCCACAGCAGTGGTCCTCAGCAGTGGTCCGCAGCAGTGGTCCGCAGCAGTGGTCCGCAGCAGTGGTCCGCAGCATTGGTCCGTAGCAGTGGTCCGCAGCAGTGGTCCGCAGCAGTGGTCCGCAGCATTGGTCCATAGCAGTGGTCCACAGCAGTGGTCCGCAGCAGTGGTCCGCAGCAGTGGTCCGCAGCAGTGGTCCGCAGCATTGGTCCGTAGCAGTGGTCCACAGCAGTGGTCCTCAGCAGTGGTCCGCAGCAGTGTTCCTCAGCAGTGGTCCGCAGCAGTGGTCCGTACCTTCCCCTTGTTGAAGTAGTGGATGACTTTGCGGCACAGGCCCTCTTTGCGGTGCCACTCGCTCTGGGCCGGGTAGTGCAGGAACTCCCTGAGGGGCCGCTCGTCCCAGTGCAGCAGCTCCCAGTACAGCAGCAGAGTGAAGGCTGCCTCTGCAGACACAGGCAGAGGTCAGGCTCAGGGACCAGAGAGGGAGGTCAGAGAAGGAGGTCAGGCACATGGAGCAGAGAGGGAGGTCAGGGATGGAGGTCAGAGAAGGAGGACAGAGGTACAAGGTATATACAATAAAAGTGGGTTTGCTCTGGTGCTCCCCTGAAGAGCTTTCATTCAAACTAATAAATAAGAATAAAATTACATAACGACAGAACAATTCAAGTATTTCTGCAAAACTCATTAGCCTGAACCCTGGGGAACAATTTAGGTAATTAATCAAAATAACCATATATATATGCTACAAATTCATGCATAAAGCATAATTCAGATTGAGCCTAATCCCTAAAACTACTCCCTCATTCATCAATTCTCTTATATGTGTAACAATCATAGACTGTATATATTAACGGACAGAGTCACGCCTATCTCCGCCGTTCTAACTAATGGGCCAAAAAATGTGCTCTACTGGAGCTATCCAAAATGGCCGCGAGTGGTCCCGCCCACAAGAAAATTGTGAAAAAACGCATCTGCGCATGCGTCAGCCGGCGCAACTCCATTCATTTGAACGAGAGACTTAAAAAATTCACAGCAAGTAAACTAGAGTGGACCAAAAAAATCCACCCCCCTCAGCATTGACACACATGTGGAACGGAGCTTTGGGCCAAGAGCCAACTTTTGGTCCATCCTGTAAAGACGTTTTTGAGAGGTCTGCCAATGCTATATGTTAGCATTGGCTAATTCTTCTTCTGGGTCCACCCCCATCGACCCGGGGTGGTATTGCAGCATGTCAGCGCACGTTATTTTGGCCACTTTTGAGCTGGGACCCTCCCCCACTGGTAACAATGCAACAGACAATTTGATAATAGATTACATTGTGTTGGGACAGGGCTATTAAGATAAGATATCCTTTATTAGTCCCACAGTGGGGAAATTTCAATGTTGCAGCGCACATACAGGACGGTAGTAACAGCACACAGGGAGCACACGAAATATACAAAATAAGTAGCTGCTGTGTTTCTTAGCGAGCTGTAAATGCTCCAATATCAATTTGATTTGTCGGTCAAAATATATTCAACTCCAGATAGATCCAGATGATGTTTGTCCTATCATACTGATTGATAAGGCTCTGTTTGTACCTGTGTAGTTCTCCGCCTGCAGGTGCATGTCACAGAGCTTGTGGATGTAGCGGATGTACATTTCCTCTTTGTTGATCTCGGATTTGTAGAAATTCTGAAACACAGAAAGGCACAGATATTTCGAAGTATTTTTAATTTTAGAAAGATTTTAACATATTCATGAGGTATTGAGTGTTGAGGGGATGTTTTTAAGGTGACTAAACTTAGCATACTATTCTTTTGTTGTGTGCCATTATTCAGAAAAGCTGAGAGCATCTGACTTTTCAAGATTTCAAAAATGTAGGAATGCTTCAGGAAGATAAAGGAGATATTGTGTGAGGTTTGCAGTTAGAATCCACAATATGAATATCAGAGGAAACTAAAAGATGAGGAAGGTTTGCCATGGTCACCATAGTAACATGGCATTAGTCCAGTAGGTGTCAGTGTGTCTCTTTCTTACCAGCAGGTTCACCGTGCAGCCGATCTTCTTGTTCTCAGTTTCGTCTCCTTTCATACAGTCCCTGCAGAAAACCATAATTACAACTGATTCGCAAACTCAACAATCTGTAAGGTAGTTTGTTGTTTTTACACAGGCTATACACATGGAAACTATTTGTATTCTGAGCCATACCCGAATACAGCTACTCAAAATGTGTTTTTTGAATATATCTACCTTAGATGTATTTGATTACGTCTAGGTATGCACCGATGTGTATCTAGTGATATTATTGATCAGTTTCAGTCTGGAGAGTCTGGGCTGAAAATGGCCAAAACCCTGGACTCTCTGCCCCGGGCTTGAGGACCAGACCCCAGTCTTTGGGTTGGTGGTTCTGTGACACCTCCTGATAGATAGATAGATACTTTATGTAGGAGAAATTCAGGAAAAGATGAGCTGCTTCCTATACACTGGTGGATGTATGCAGAGAGTGACCCTTTTCCCTTTTCACTGCCCAGGAGAAACTGAATACTACTTGTTTATTCCTGCCAGTGCATTTTTTGAGAAAAAGAAAAAGATTTACACTTGATTCGCTTGCTTTGGACAAATTATCTGTGCATCCTCTTGAGATAATTTTACACATAGATCCATGTATGTTGTGTACCTTATCCTAAAGGATTTAGGATAAGGTAGAAGAGCAGTAGAGTATAAGATAAAATATGGTAGAGTGTTCTGAATCAACTTAAGTCCATAATCAGTTGTTATTACTCTTAACAACTGATTATGTTAAAGAGTACTGATTACAGCCCTCTTATCAGTGGTGATGCATTCCTAATTACTTCTAATCCCTGGTTGCTGTGGATTATTTTTACCTGTAATCCAGAAGCCTCTCCATCAGCCTGGTCACGGAGGTCACAAAGGAGATCCCAGTTTCTCTCCATGTCTCCTGCTCAATCTTCTCCAACAAACTTAAAGATAAAAGTTGAGCATAGAATCAGATTTCCAAACATGGCTGAAATGAAGATTGTTTCTGAACTCCAAAGCTACAGAAGCATGCACAGAGCAGAGCAGCATTAGTGCCAGTGTGTCAGGGGCAGCGTACCTGGGGTATGGCCCAAAGAGCTGGGTTCTATTCCCGCAGCACAAAGCAAACCACAGCAGATTAGAGCAGGAAACAGAAGTCGATTTGTTACGCAGAGATAGAAAAGGAGAAATAACAGTTTTCCAGTGTTAAAAAGTCAGGCGCACAAACCAAACTTGGTTACACAGAATAAAGCGGCGTCTAAGCTACAGTGCCATTTATCACTTTAGGAAGAGAAGACATTGCAGCTACAATAAGTATGATGAAGCATATTTCCCATTCTTTACTTCAAGTCAACTAACTGTGAACGCACACAATGTGGACGCCATTTATTCTCTCATTCCAATAAACATGGAGTGATAAAGATATGATAATTAGACATTCACTACACACTATGTACTTCTTCATTATTGTATTGTTAAATGACTTGAGATAAGAATCTTTTTCATATCTTTAGATTCTATTTAGTTGATAAACCGAGATAAATTGACTCAACATGTTTCTGACAGCTTTCAGTGCAGCATCCTATAGTGGCTATTGCATAATTTAAAATTTATTTTTGTAACTTTATTGTTGAAAAAAGGTATGGTCTTGGCGGATACAACATGAGAAGTATTTCTTACAGCAGACTGAAGAGCTCCCTGTAGTTCTCGTCTCCTTTCCCCTCCGACACCAGACTGTCCAGTTTATCGATCAGCTCTGCCTCCACCTGCTCACAGCAACAGGGTTCTGGTCACACTGGTCCACGTGATGCCACTTTACTTACTTTAGTCTTGGCTAAGGCCAACATTTTAGTCACAATGTTGATGTGGTCATGGAGGGATTTATGGGCCATTAAGTTGTAGTTCCAGGCTAAAAAAATCATGCATCTCTCTACATGTTTACTAATATGTACATGTATACTAGTATGTACTGTACATGTATACTAGTATGTACATGTATACACCTTTTGTCCTGCTGCAACCAACCATCCTCTGCCAAAATGATTCACGCTCTTATCAAATGACTTAGATTGGGTTAACTCTGCTCTGTAGGTTACAGTGACTTTAGTAAAACTGTGTTGGGTTTTCCTCATTGTCGGACAGCGTCTCAGGGTTTATTGTGAGAACCAAACTCAGTGTTCCGAGTTCAGTGCAACAGTGTATTGGTTTTAATCACTGTCTATGTCCGACAGGAGCCTGCGCTGCGAGCACAGTCTGAAAACTTCATTCCTAGTTCCATAGTGGCCATCTCTGGAACACTCTCCCCCCTGACCTCCGTAACACAGACTCACTCACACACTTCAAATCCACCTCAAAACTCATCTGTTTAGACCGAAGCCTACTCACCAACTCCATAACCATACCATCCTCTGTTCATGCTGCTTTCAACTTTGTATTTAAACGTATATTTCAACTTCCCCGTGAGCAAAACAGAGGTTAAAATTCTGTCTCGAGACAAAAATTGGTTTGATAGAGGGGTGAAAGAAGCCATTTTTGTGAGGACACACAAACCATCCCTATACAGAGGAGGAGGTTTAATTTGTTTTGCCTCGCATCTATGACGACGTCCTAATAAAAATGCCCTAACAATAGATAAAGTCAGTGACATGTAAGTAAGTGAGTAATCTTGATTTATATAGACAGACAAGAGTCACAAAGCAGTTTACAATTGTGGGAATTTGTCTCTCGCTCCACACAGAGAGCGGGGTCGCAAGTACAGGAGACGCATGCCAGACTTATTGCACATGTTTTTAGTGGTAGGGGAAACCGTAGCACCCAGAGGAATATACGCAGACACGGGGAGAACATGCAAACTCCACTCAGAAAGACCCGACCGGGATTCGAACCCAGGATCTTAGAAGTGGTAGACCTGCACACCACCGAGCAGTCTCAGCAGACAATAGGTCAGTGACATGCTAATGAGGTAGGATTATCACTGAATTTAGATGCAGGATTAATATTAAAAATGGGAAAAGAGAAGAGTTTGAAGTTGCACCTGTTTGAAGTTGCCGTTCTTGCGCTGCTCCCAGTCCATCATGTCGTGGAAGATGGGGATCATGATGTTCCGCACCTCCACCTGCGGCACCAGGGTCACACCCAGGAACGGCCCGATCATTCCAGGGATGAAGTGGATTTTGTTTTCTCCTGCAAACAATGTATTTATTTCAACTAAAATAACAAAGAAACTGCTTTTTTACAATGTGTGTGGAAACTTTACCCAAGTTCTGCCACATGTTGAATAAATTGTAGGTCATCATCACTCTCATGTCTCCGTATCTGAAGAACAAAGATTGCATTTACTAAAACTGAGCAAAAATAATATATTCAGCTGATAGATGTGTATTGTTTTCACAAAATCTAGAAATAAATGGACACAGTAATTCTTTTAAAAATGAATTTGAGCAATGAATAGATGTTCATATGAGATCTGTTTTGAACCACACAGTTTTGGTGCCAGATTTGACAGATTTACAAACAACAAGAAGCATAAAAATACATACTTTTCTAATATTTTCCTCTTCTTGCTGGGACTGAGATTATCCAGTTGAAGGCTGGGCTGGTTAATGTAGAGCACGGCCAGGCTGAAGTACGAGTTCCACACCTGCACCGAAAACAAAAATACAATGTATAATTCTTTATTAAGTATGTAAGTAATATTTATTTATAGAGCGTCTTTCATAGACCACAGTTACAAAGTCACAAATAATGCTAAAACAAGAAATATTGAAATGCTATAACAAACATATATGTGTATGTACAGAGATAAGGTGGTGGTTATGCCAAAGACAGTACTGTATCAAATGTATTGATTTTGAAGAAGAAAAAAAATGTTATGTGATCCCGCATGGTCATATGTCATTCTTTAAAAATATATATACTGTATACAAGTTGCAGACATCAATTTTAATGAATAAAAATGTACCTTAAAATCAAACTCGCCGTCCGTGAAGTTCTTGTGTAAAGCTGGGGAGAGGTATTGTGTTGTCGTCAAGATGATGCTGCGCAGATAAGATGGAAGAGAGTCAGATTAAAGTGTAGAATATAATCTGTACACACTGTGCTCGGCTGCGTGGCATACTGGCTGGTGAGGAGCCGCATGACGTTCCAGTCTCGAGGGAAAATACTCAGCTTCATCAGATTTCGAAACACGCACAAGATCTTCAACAGAAACTCCTGCAGAGAAATGGCGAGTGAGCCCAGTCAAATATCAGCTGGAGAACAGACAGTACTGGTATAGGCAAATACATCTCAATGCAGTACACACAAATACTTATGTAATAAAAATAAAGAAGGTTATTCGAACCATTTGATCTTCAACGTTTACTACTACAATCATTTATTTTGTAATTCTTTTCAAACTACACTAAATATTAATATATCTGGACTGTCTTGGATTGGAAAGCACCAGAGAGAGCAAAAATAAGCAGATACATGTATAAAAGTACTATGGTCAAACTGCTCTGTGAAACAATACTGCTGTAAAAAGTCCTTTATTGAACAGTTTATACCTTGAGCTCGTCTTTGCTCTGGAAATTCTCCATCATGCGCTGGAAGTGGATGTCTGTCATCTGCCGGAGGAGCGACAGGAGGCAGGACACATACTCTCCCTGCCAATAGGAAAACAGCATCCCAACAACAGCCAATCAGAATGGGCCCAACAAACACACATTTCAACATTTCAGATACTGTAGACACAAAAAAACAACTCAAACATGAAGGAGATAGAAGGTTAAAACACAAACACACACATTTGCAACATTAACAGACGAAAAAGGGAAAGAGAAGAGTTTTCATGATTATTAAATACGTTGGTCAACAAGGCCAGTTTAGTCCTAACCTAGGACTGAGTCCTAACTTAGGCCAGTTTAGTCCAAGGCCTTTTAATATGAAGCAGGTTTAGCTTAAGATGTTAGCGGACAGGCACAGAACCAATGTACACGGTTCATAGACAAATGGAGGAATAAAACATTTCTTTGAAGACTAAAATATTCAGATTATATCATGGCTGTGTCGGCCTGTGCCTGTTTACTTGGCACTGTTTCTGTTCAAACCAGTTGTGACCTGCTTTATAGAACCGCTTATCCAGTCTAAGTGACTTTATCCGGTTCAGACAAAAGTATCAAGAACAACGTAGAACATGGTGTCAAACTGTTTTTGCTTAGGGGCCGAATAAAAACAAACAAAACTAACTGGTCGAAAGTTTTGATATTCTTATTCTTTTTGGGAAGATTTTTTGTTTACTGTTCGGATAGACCCAAAATACGACCAAATATGTACTTTTAAGAGATGTAATTTAAGACTGATGTATGTCAATATTAAAATTTCTAAATAAAATTCATCCTGGGCATTTAATCTGACGTGTTGTCCCTAACATTGTATGTTGCAGTCATTCGGGATGTAACAAGTGGGAGCTCGGCCGGTCAAACAACAAACAACAAGAACAAGAAGAAAAGCACAGAGATGAAAAAGGAAAGCTTGAGCAGTAGTTACAAATATTTAAATTAGTTTTTCCATGCTGTGTAAGTACTGCCCAGTCGTGGGAAAGCGGCAGAGGACGGGGGAGGTATTAAAAGTAGAAGTGGAATGTTAGTTACTAACAGTGATCTCCGCGGTGCACTGCGGACAGCGTTGGCCTCTTACCGCCTCCTGCGATTGGCTCTTGCTCATGATTGACAGCAGCGTTTGGAGGAGGACGTCCAATAAGGACTCCACCATCATCTCCACCTCCTCCTGCACTGAGGTCTCCTACAGCCACAACAATACATGACCAACATACATAACATACTTACATATTACAAATGCAGGATTACAATACTTGAGTATCTATTTAGAAGAAGAAGGTCCGTTATTCGTCCCACAAAGGGGAAATTTCAGTTTGATGCATACACATACACATTTAATATTTAAATCTCTTACTAGTTTAAATAATCCGTTTGGATTATTTTTTACTTAACTATATATTGATTAATTTCATCCCTGCACATATTGCAAGTACAAATAAATAAAATACATTTTTATGAAAAGAGAATGGATGAAGCAAAAGCTTATATTATTCCAATCCCCTCTCACATGTTCACTGACATATTATATATATTGGCAGATATTTTTGCCTTAATTCAGGATGTTAAAAACTCTAATCATCATCTCGCAGCTGTAGTGAGAGCGATGGGAGGTGTTCCCGCTGCCTGTACCCGTGCACTGTTGTTGATGATGGAGAAGATAGAGCTGAGGATCCCAGAGCAGATGAGCAGCTCCTTCTGCTGCCGGAGGTGCAGGTGGATGTGATGGAGGACCACAGGCAGAAGGATCCTCCGCGACTCTGAAACACACAATAACACAGTCATGAAATAAGTCTCAAATGAGCCTGGAACTGACGGCGTAGAAAAACAAAAGTCAGATTGGGTAAAGTCTAATAAGGTTGAAGGACGAAGGGTTACTGCGGTTTACCAATAAATCAGTCAAGAAATAAAACTACAACGGAGAGTGTCATTTATTATTCGTGCTTCCCTTGTTTCAATGTCAAGACGTAAAAAGATTCTCAGGATGATTATAGTTTTATACGATTCTGTTCAGTGAATTATGCAAGAGCATTCGGCAACATTATGTAGAGATAGTCGGCTTTGTGTTACTTTTTTAAAGCAATTTTTCTCTTCGATTTTCACTTATTAAAATAAAAGTGAAGTTAATACAGATAATACAATACAAAATTAAATTCAATAACACGGTGCAACCATTTTACGTTTCCCGGTACCAGTAAGATAAGATAAGAAAAGATAGATTTTATTGATTTCTGTTATTGAAATGTTGTTTTTAGATGATATTTTTAATGAATTTTGAGAAGATAATGTTTTAAATCCATGTTGTGACCTGGCTGGTATATGTTTATTAGTACTCTCGTCTCCTAGAGGTCTGGCGGGATGTGTTGCCTGCAGATGTGGGCCATTGTCTCCTTTGCCTCCTGTATCCTGTATGCATATGTTCAACTGTTTGCATAATAATATGGAGGGCTTCCCTTTGAAACTGTACTTTTCTCTGACTGTTTGTGGGTGTGTTTTGAGACTGTGGTTCATTGAATAAAGTACGTTGCTTCGTGGAGGAGAGATTAGACGACTTTGGCTTGGAGTTGTGGAAACACGGCTGCTTTCTGCCGTCTCCTCCATGGACGTCTAACCATGTAGAATAGAATGACAACGTCGGCCTAATCTTTGTGTGCTATTGTCCAGATGACCTGCAGTCGAACTAGTTTTTATCAATCTCACACAGGAGAAATTTACATGTCACATCTGGCATGGATAGAATCACTCAAGAAGAATAAAAAATTGTGCATAGAAAGAAGTGTGCAAACATGTTAAATGCAGGATGTATTACGTACAATAAAAGAGGCAGTAGAGCACGGACATCCACAGTTGGTATCACACAATCTGGAACTAAATATGTTAAACTTTTCTGCTGTAAAGTTACTGCTCTGTAACAATGTGTAAAAATGTACAAGTGACCAAAATAAACTTAATCTTAAAGAAAACATATTTTGTAGTACAAGATCAAGGGCACTGGTCTGCTTAAATCTTTTTATAAACAAAAGAAAACGTCTTTTTACTTGAACATATAAAAAGCCAAAACAATGGAAGAAGTCGTTGGTAAAAGAACTGTGTATGAATATAAACCAAGCCAGTATAGATTTGCGGTTGTTTAAAATCAATCATGATCGTTCGTAAAGCCCTTCACAGTCTGGCTCCTTCATTATTTCTGATTCACCAGTGCCTTATAAACCTGTGCATCAAAACCTATGATTTTAATCTTCCTGTCGTTCCTCAGATGAAACTGGGATTTAAATGGAACGCTTTACCTATTGCATCAGATAATCTGCAACGCTGAGCTCAAGGCACTTTGTGACTCTTGCAGGGCGATTCTAAAGTCTCATTTGTGAGTTTTGGGTGAGATTTTGGTGAATATAAATAATTCAATGCACCCTTCCATCCATCCATTTGATTCCGCTTTATTTGTTTCCGGGTTGCAGGGGCAGTAGTCTAAGCAGTCATCCTCCGGGTCTCCTCCCGGTGGGACAGTCCCCGAACACCACCCCAGAAATTAAGCTGAGGTGGAATTTCCGACCTGGAAACTGGAAGATTTCAATGGTTTTAGATTAGGTTAAGAACTGAGCTGACTGCTGTTTTGATTTAGGGCTATACAAGAATAAATTGTAAAGAAATAAATTGTAATTGTATTGAAAGAACGATCGCACTGCCCTCACTTGGCAGCAATCAGGCACTGCACGCACTAGCTTCATACCACGTGGAAGCTCGATCCAAGCAGCAGCTTCATTCATGTCACAACCCTCCTCCTCCACATTTCTGCCTCCTTCCAGGCCAGCTCCTTCACCCATCTCCTAAGACACCAGCACCAGGGTCTAGGCCCCGGGGGATTTCATCTCATAACCTCTTCTCTCTTATGCAATTGTGCAGTGCTCCGCCTGGGTCTAAGCACCAAATCCTAAACACATTTCTGTGCAGCAGCAATATATATAATTTACATACTGTCAGAATACTGCCAACCAGAATACATTTCTAATAATACCCATGTTTTGACGGTTTAGTCTCTCCAGACTGAAATGCAGATATCAGTAAAACCGCACAGAGAACAGCTGGGGCTCTACCTGGAAAAGAGAACAGCTTGCTGTCCACAGTGCGGGCGATGGACTGCAGTTTGACCACGTCCATGGACTGTCCGATGTGCACGGTGGAGGGCATGCTTCCCAACGTGCCGCGCACAAACTCCGCAACCTCCTGCACCGAGAACATCTGCAGGAGCTCGTCGAAAATGGCCGGGAACGAGTTGAGTAGAGCGGCCTACAAAGACATGATATAGATATATACAGGATGAGTGAATGGAAGAGTTTGTCTTTGTGTGGGATGGAAGGAGAGAAAACCCAGTGAGGATATGTAGCAAAGAAGAAATATTAGTGGAAAGTCAAGAACGACATTTCAACAAAGCCAACGGCACAGCAGGGCGACATCATTTCAGAGTTTTTAACTATGTCACAATTGTTTTTCATTTAACTCAATCAATTGTGCTTTAATAGTGTTTGATGATGGTGAGAAGTGGGATTATCGTAGCAGCGGTGACTTAAATGTAAGAGAATGCCAATTATTACAAATATTCATGATTTTGATGAATTATGATGTTGGAAAACCTTTAACAGCTCCATATGATGCTCAAAATATGTTGTGGTTTTCTAATAAATGAAAAAATCAAATTGTCTTGCAGGCTGTATTACAGAATATATATTTTATGAAAACAGATGCTTTTAACAAAATGATTCATGAATAGGTAACAGAATACAAGAGCTCGAACAACAGGTATTTTCTTGTTTTGTCGTAGATTGGAGACAATTGGAGATTGTTTTGGTGTAAGGGGCAGATGGCAGCCACCCGTTTATTAGTCTGCCCCAGAGCAGATGTGGCCTGTATTACACTTGATAGAGTCCATGCTTTAGTCTTAAGTAGCTTTTCTTTGTTGCATTTTGACAGCAACTGTGCTCACAATCTTCACAAGTTTGGAGAGAATCATGAATTTTAAAAAAGCACAAACATACTGTATTTCAGAGCCGTATTTATGACGTCACAAATTCTCCAGCTTGCGGGGATAAGATTTTGTCACAGAAATTAGCATGAATGAAGCTACGTTAAATACTCATAATGTGGTTTTAATTTGGGAACATGATTCAAAACTCCCAACTTTAGTATTAACTTTAGTATCTTAACTTGAACAACTCGTTTTCATATACAGTATATATACATTATTTACACACATATTTATGCATGAACATTGCCATTAAACTCAGAAGATGACAATGTCAAACGACTGGGTTAACTATAATGGATAATCACAGTGAGTTTTTAATATGCTATTATGTAAACTTATTAGCAGTTTTGCTCAGTGCAGCTGACGTTGCTGAAATAAGGAATTCAGTGCCACTGGTTTTGCTGTAAATGGCAGATTTGCTTAATGAATGCCGACACCAAAGGGCTGACTTAATGAGGCCTGAACAGCCTTGGTGATGAGGGCCGTCTGAGAGATGGATTATTGTGGACAGGGGTGTGACAAAAGAACAAGTGAAGAGCAGAGATCAAGTCACCGCAGTTTGTGATGCATTCAAGTGACATCAGTGAAAGTCAATACTTTACAAAGGTTTGTCATGCAGTAATTTAGATTAAAGGCAGGTTCCTGGGACTTTTAATTAAGTTAATAAACTCAACAAATGTACAGCGTGTTTACACAGGAGTGTTCAAGTGTGTGTTAGTGTAGAGCAGCAACACAAACAGTGATAATCCCACACACAGCAGACGTGGCTCTGTCCACACCGCTCCAGTCCGTACTCACAGAAAGAGGAGAGGCCCGCACGGCACTGGAACTCAAACTGCAGGTCCCCTGCCCGCTGCCAGGGGCCTGGGTGAGGCCAGAGGGGAACGTATGACCCAGGGCGGCGGCTAGAGCTAAGGGAGGTCCCAGAGAAGGGGCGGGGGTCGGGGTGGAGCCGGGACAAGACTGGGAGCCCAGGGTGCACCCGCAGAGCAAGGGATATTTGGGAAAATGACGAGTAAGGGTGAAGATATAGGTCCAAGAAGGAGGTAAAAAGGAGAAAAAAGGATGGTTATGTAATAACTAGTAAATTAAAAGATGCATGCTAACAAAAAAGTTATTCTATCAGAAACTAAAAAGAGTCAAAGGTTTAGCTACAAGGAAAAGATGTCTATGCTCTAGTGTGGTTCTCAAACTCCGGCATGGGCCCCTTAAAGAGTAATTGGTTCTCAAAAAAGTAAAATGAGCACATGGGTAAAAGAATCAAAGTATCAATGAAGTCCAAGTTTAACCATACACCTAAATATACACAGTGTATAAATGTATTGATTGATAAAATAAGATCTCAAGTCTCATATTCTGTGTGTATCGTGGTGTTACCTGTGTGAAAATGAGGGTCTCTGAGTTGCGACTGTCCAGGCTCAGCACAAAGCGGATGGACTGGAACAGCTCCTGGATACTGGTCCTGAACTGGTCCTCCTCCATCCCACAGGTGGCCCGCGAGTACAGCAGCCGCGACTGCACGATGAACTTGAACAGGTACTCCAGCGCCTGGTGCGGACAGAAGGGATAGTTTGATTGTAATGAGTATGTCATGGCATCAGTTTAATACAGTATATCACATGTAGTAGTAGTAGTAGAAGTAAAACTGGACTTGACATGAATCTTTACAAAGCTAGTTTGATAGAGTGACATTCATCTGTTCTGATAATTCACTAGTCACTTTACCTGTTATTATGATTATATTATAACATATTCCATTCATCTGTTATGATAATTCAGATGAATGGAGATGAAAGAACCACCTTACCCACTCCTAGTATTACCATTGTTTATCTGGTCATATTCTCTGCCGCTAAAGTAAATTATTAACCATCTGCAAATGTCAAACTGAATGACTGCTGCTGACTGCAGTGTACTCTCCACAAGTAACTTATCCTTGACCCATGCGCAATTTTAGCCCTAGAGTTTATTTTCTTATCTCATTATTCTAAAATCGTATTATCTTTTATACTAAACAGTAGCTTATGCTTTTGGATGTGTGCATAATCTGATTGCTCTTATTTCTCCTTTTATTCTGGTGTAATGTGTGCATCTATGAGATTGAAGTTTCTCCACAGAGGGATGGATAAATATTGACTTTATCTTGGTTTTTTGTGGAACCAGGACAGCTCATTATGTACCATAATTGCCGGATATTGAAGGTTGCGGTCTGTATAGCGATGAGGCTAATGTAAATATGTTTAGTTGAGTTGCGGTCAGAGCAGTGTTTATGACCTTGCTAGAGGATGCACTTTTATTGTCAAAACATATACAGTATGAGTCCCAATATGGAAGCTAACAGCTCACGTGATCGTCAGAGTTCTTTGTGGTATTTACCTTTAGCAACAAGTCAACAGTGCATTTAAACACCTTGTCATTAAATAATGTGATCAGAAACCCGATTTGAACCTGTGTCTTGTATTCCAGAGCAGCCTTTATGTGGACAAAATTCCTTTCAAATGTTGCCGTTGGGCTTGATAAACAGGTGTATTTTATATTTGTGCATGTATTGTATGTTCTTATAGGGCAGTGATTCCTAAATGGTGGTTGTGACTTAAACTAGGGGATCGCATGATAATTTTAAGAAGTAAATTTGATATTACAGAACACTGTTGAGTCAAAATATTGGATTAGTTAGTACTTTTTTTTCAGAGGAATCCAGTTAGGTGATTTAAACAACAAATTCAAAATCATTTGTACATACAGTGCCTTTTTGTGGGTGAAGTGTGTTGCCCGAAGACATAACAACAGATTGGCACTTTACTACCACAGCCTCTCCACAGGTGCCGCAGTGGAGAGGCTGCCGGTCAGTTCTCCCATCACAGAACTGACCAGGCCCTTCACTGCTTAGCTTCAGAGGTCTGACAGGTTCTGGCTGGTATGATCGCAAACACTTACAGTTAATAACACTTGTTTTAATGCTTGAAATGAATCTTTAAATATTGTTATTTTGTCAGGAGTCAAGTTGGAGGTGATTTTGGGAGTGTTTGAAAGTTTGAGAACCCCTGCCAGTTTAGAACAAAGGTTTCTACTAAAAATAGTCAGATAGAGTTAACTATAGTCAGATATAGTAGGATTCTGTCTTCTTTTGCATTTGTATGATGAACACATCCGCTCATTACGGATACATCAGACAGATGAATCCTCAGATCAGGCCCCAGCCGCTGCATGTGTCACAACTGGCCTCAATAATTCAGGTGGAGCACTTTCACGCTGCCGCTCCTGACCCATTTGAGACGAGTGTTTGAATGTCATAAATATTTCAAAGTGAGGATCTGTGGTCGTCAGCTCGATGTGTGACAACGAGTACACATACGGTGGGGCTCTACTCGGTGTCCCCCTCCAAAAAAACCTGAGTCTGCTTTCTAACAAGAGGACTCTGAAGTATTAATTTTGTGATTCATTCTCATATAAAAAATCCACACTGTTGTATTTTCAGACTGGCCTCATGAAGGTGATGGTAGAGGCACTCGATGTGTGTCATGAAGGACACTCAAGGACGCTTTCCATGTCATTATTCATTCACTCCATACACGGTGGTGATACACTACTACTAGCCACAGCTGCCCTGGGGCACACTGACAGAAGCGAGGCAACCAGTCTGTGCCATCGGCCCCTCTGACAGTTTGGCACTTTACAGCCACAGCTGCCCCACTGTGGCACCTGGTGTTCCCAGAGGTCAAGTGTCTTGCCCAACGACACAATGACAGCAGACAATGGTTAACCCAGAAGGTCGAACCCACGACCTTCTGGCTCAAAGGCCAATGCTCTACCAACTGAGCTACTGTCGACCTGATTTTACCGTTTGACACCAATGGCTCAGTCTCTTTGGTCCTGTTTGCACCGAGAGCCAAAGTAATTCACGACTCACATGGCAACAAAAGGATTGTGATTCTGATTCTCGCAGGCTGCTCTTTCCCAGCTCTACACCTTCTCCACCGACTCCCACTGGTGACTGCTGTCGTTGTGTCCTTGGGCAAGACACTTAACCCCACTTTGCCCAAAGCCCCCACTGAAAGATTAAGGCTATGCTCACACTCAGAGAGCAGCCGTCCTCCTGTGGACTCACCACCTGCAGAGGGTCAGTGAGGGGCTGGTGCTATGAGACTTGGGTGGCATCTCTGATTGCCACCCCTCTGACCCAGAAATGGATTAAAGGGTAGAAAATGGATGGATGGAAGACATAAGAATGATTGAAGAGCTTGTGTATGAACTGCACCAGCTAAATTTGAAAGTAAAGTCATTTTCTCCACATACAGACCATACTTGAATATAAGATGCAGGTTTTCATGTTGTAAGGCAACACTTAACCATCGGCTGAGCAACTGAACACAACATGATTTAAAGGTGAGGTCTTTGAACACACTGTTGACTCGTGATAGTAAAGCACTCTGGCAAATCCAAAGTGTTTTTACAACATTCCCACTAAACCTTGGTGGTGTCAAAATATAAAGTCAGAATAGCACTATTAATATATACAATTCCTTTGTATTTGTCTGCATTAACTCACATCGTCTCTCTGCTGTTCACATAAACACACTGGGAACACATGTGTGCTACATAAACCTGCCTAAATAGGCCATAGAGATCAACCCAGTCCAGCAAGTAGTGTATATTAGTAAGTAACACATATTTGATCATAAATATAATAAAATATTTGTCTTGAGTGAACAAGACAATTCATATTTTTTTTCAGTAATTTTAGTTCATAAGTATTATGTAATTTATCTTTTAACAGTGGTTTAGGTTTGTCCTGGTTTTGCTCCTCCACATGAAACAAAAGTTCAACTTTATACATACTTTGATTCAGAATAACAGATCAAAGTAGATCATGAGTGCTCTCTAATTCTTGTTTTTTTTATGGTAATGGATGTTTTATGTGTACTGCATTTCTCTTACCCTCATCGCTTCCTGTATATGGTCTTGTCTCACGACTTCTGCCGAGCGATCCATGTACCACTTTAGACAGCGGATCAGCTCCCTGTAACACAATAAAACTCCTATTACAACAATATACTGCTTAAATAAGTCATAAATAGTCATCCTTTACAGTAAGAGATAGACATAACACAATTTATAAGTGGTACTTACTTGTAGGCCAGTGCTCCGGCAAAGTGCTTCTGTATGTACGTATCCATCACAGGCTTGAAGTGATAGTACTTACTGTCCCTGAGAAGATTGATGATGAAGACCTAAGAAAAGACATTCAATTATATGTTTTACCTTCTTTGCATAAGCCAAACCTTTTGCAGAGAGTTCGGCTCTCAAAGATAATGCTCAAGTTTATAGGATTTAAATAAACAACATGTGAGAGATGCGTATCCTCCTTTCAACTTTTTGCATAGTTCTCAGAGAGAGCAGTGCGAGTCACGTATATTGGCTTCTTTGGGCTGAGAGCTCTTATTTACAATTCTGGATTATGTAAAAAATATGAAAGAGGCCAAAAAAATATGTGCAGTGAAAGTAAGTAATGTTCATTTAAATAGTGCATTTAGCTGAACTCTCAGTGTTCAGAGTTCAGATAATTTTCCATTATCTCCACACACGGGGATGACGGAAGTGAGACGCTAACACACTGGACCATCAAAGCCTCCGACCAAACACCAACCATTCACTCCCTCACTCATTACATTCATACACAGACACGGGGAGAACATGCAAAATCCACTCAGAAAGGCCCTGTTCCGACCAGGGTTGGAACCCAGGACGTTCTTGCTGAGAAGCGAGAGTGCTATCCACTCAGCCACCTAAAAACTAGTGTTAGAACCAACCTATGTCTAAATGGTTTATGTGGTCTGAAAGTAAGGTACCTGAGCTCTAAAAATTGAAAAGAGACAAAAGAGGAAACACCAACAAATATATGCCCTGTTTCTGGCTAAATAAATGGTCATCTGATAACCATAATAAACTGTATCATTGACAATTGGATTTGATCTATATTCAAGTTTTGATTTCATTACATTAAAATCCTATAATATTTATTGAGGATACAATAGTGCGTATAGTAAAATGATATTCATATATAAATACATATTATGGTCAATGTAATTAACTAAACAATTTCACATTATGGCCTTGTATCAATCATGCTGAAGCCGGACCACTCAGATCTACTTATTGATTTTTATTTATTGATTTTTTTTTTGATAGGAACAAGTGTACACTATCAACATTTATGGCCAAGGCTAATTTGCAATGTCCGTCCCTGGAGGGCTTTTAAACGCAATTAAAAACACATTTTTCACACTATACAAAAGCAGGTGTCCTCCAACTCATTATTGATCACACAGCTGGTTTAAAACAAATCACAAGAGTTCCAGAGCTTTGCCCCCTGGACCGAGAAGACCGACTGCCCGAATGCGGTTCTCCTGAGGGGCACTTACCAAAGACTGAAACACCAGTGGTCCATATTTGTCTGTGTTGTCGTCAAGAATGGAAAATAACGTGTCCAAAATGTCTTGAAGAAACTGTCAAAAAAGATGAAAGGCATTATTCAGTTGTTCGGATGTGGATGTGACGGTCCGGACTCTCACCTTGACGATCTCCTCTCCACTGACGTGCCGCAAACGTCCCAGGATGTCCATCACTCGGTCTGGGTGGGCTTTCCACTTGAGCAGGGCCAACAAGTCCACTGGAGGAGAACACAAGAGACAAAATGTGTAATGAAATGTATTTAAAATGTATGCAGTAAGTTTTAAATGATGCTGTTTTTATGTTGAATTGAAGCTGAGGCAAAAGATAAGATAAGATAAACCTTTATTAGTCTCACAGTAGAGAAATGTCAGTGTCATCGCTGCGCACATTACAGCAGAGAAAGAAGGAAAGAAGAGCCCTCAGATTGCACTCAAATGAACCAAAAGATAAAGTAATCCTGTGTCAGTTCTAGACCAATAGATTACTTAAAAATGTCAATAGTACAGGGATATACTGATGAAATGTATACTCTAAAAGCTTTTCAAAGTCAGAATGAGATAATTATGCTGTTTGTAATCATGCTAAAGTTGAAGATTTTAGACTTCTTTCCTTTTATACAGTTTTTTATGCTAAGATTCTACTTAATTTTTATTTTAGTATAGAGTTAATGTTAATTTTTCTGCAGTGTGCTCCTCATTCCTGCTGTCTGTAACTTGTGATGCAACACTGAAATGTCCCCACTGTGGGATGAATAAAGGATCTCTTAATCTTAATCATAGAGCATTCGATCAAACCTGAGTTTTTTTTTTAAATATAACTATGTATATCAGGGGTGTCCAAACATTTTAGTTAGAGGACTAGTCCAGGGGCCGACATCAGAGACTGAAAAACTATCTCAACTGGCATCGGGCTGCTCTGAGATTTAAAATAATCTATATCAGAGCTGAAGTTGGCTGAATGACAAATGTTTACCATCTCACCAGCTTCAGTAGCACCATTAACAGAAGTTTGTGAAACCATTTCAGTTCAGCACGTGCAATAAAGTCAAATTCTAGATGTACTGAGCTTTAGAACAATTTACCACATGTCTATATTGACTGAGCTGAAGTTGGATGGATGACACAGTGAACTTGTGTTTAGGATCTCAAAGACTACTCTGGGTTAGCAAGGCACCAAAAGGCTAGGGTTTTTTTTAGTTTATTTTTTTGTGAACGGGGCATATACCAACACAACCTCCTTATTCTTTACAAAAGTTTGAACCTTTCTATGAAGTTGGAGTACTTTCTATCGCCCCATTCACATCCCCCAGAGAGATCTTCCTGACAGACGGAACAAAAACCATTTAACACTGTTTGACTTAGTGCAGCGGGCGTGAGTGACTGAGCACCGTTCTGAGTGAGCTTGGTGGAGGAGAGCTGGGTGCAGATCCAGAAGCTCTCCTTGGTGTTGCGTTGGAAGATGAGGCTGGAGGGGATGTTGGGGCAGCTGTTGAAGTCGTCCTTGCAGCAGGGCAGGCCCAGGTACAGAGCGTGGTTACTGAAAGTCGTGTTTTCATCGCACTGAAACAATACATCAAAAAAAATGATTAAGTTAGAAGATTTCTGAGGTTTGATGAGTCCTGTTTTGTCTTCCTTTTATTGTGTATACAGCATGTTAAGCCACGGGGTAGGAAGTAACTGATTCAACTGTTCTACCTTCGGGCAATTTTCTAGATTTTTGGTGGTTGATTTGACATATTGAACCCGTGTTGAACTTTTTAAATGTTTGCCTCATCAAAATCAGACCTGGAGTTGACAATCCTTCTTTCTAAAAGCCCCTGTCTCAGTCGTCTGCCTTTTAAAACAAAAGTATTGGGTTGAGTAGAATAGTATTCCGTTACTTTGGAAAAAATAGTACCTGTAATCCGAATACTTAGAATACTTTTATTCATACTTTTAATTATTGTTTTTATTGTATATGTATGTATGTATATGTATATGTATATTTTATATTATTGTAAATCATTATCTACCAACAAAATACTTAAAACCACAACCCCAATAAATGTTTGAATGAATAAAACATGTTCTGTAATTATTTGTTGATTATTTTTCTAAAACAAGTCAAAGTTCCTCAACAGCTGCCATTTAACAACCAGAAAAAACATAAGCTTCACTTTAATATTATGCAACATTTTCTCTTATTTTTAACCTTAAATCGTAATGTGAGAAAGTATGTGTTCCAGTGATTTTGAGAGAGTAACTTTTCTAAATACTGGAAAGTAGTAACTGAAAAGGAACACAGGTATACTTAGAAAGAGTATTCTGAATATGTAATGGCCTTACATGTAATCTATTACTCCCCAACACTGCTCATAAATTAGTTATATTGTTAGTTAAATTAGGGAATTTCTCAAGTTTCAGACTCAAATTGAAAAGGTTCATATTTTAGAATAACTGAAATATAACCAACTAAATCAATTAAAACCCTGTCTCTGGTGATGGTGTTACAGCCAGAGAGAAAACTTATATTTATCTTTCCTAAACCTAGAAACGTTATGAACACACTGCTTCACTTATGATTAACCAGGGTATACTTTTCTTTTTTTAAATGCATGGATAATTCTGAAGTGGGTGAATAACGAAGGTCAAACATACATTAAATTGCATACTTAAAAGTCGTAAAAACATCTCCTCAGAATACAGAGCTTAGATGAAAACCAAAGGGAGGTGATGGAACACAGAAGTATTTTAGTCAGACCTTGTAAACATAAAGTTCGTGGCTTTCGTCTGACAGCGTGGTCCCGTCTTCTCTCATCAGAGGAGTGAATGAGAACCCGAACAGCTTCTTCTCTCCTTTGTCTTTAGCTGTAAAACAAAAGAAACTAATTTCAGAACAGGGACATGGCTTTTTTGTAAGAAGAAACAATCTTTTTAATTTTTTAGCACGAAATGAAATGACTATGATATGGTAAGACCAGGCTGGATCTGAGCACATCTTCTGAGAGTATGGGACAATACAATAACCTAGTGTGAAATATTGTGTGTCTTACTGGAGCAATGCCTGAACTCGAAGCGCAGATGGGATCCTCTGAAGCGGTCGATGGGGATGGGCAGTTTGATGACCTCGCTCCAGCGTGGACTGTTGTTATGATACAGGACGAAGGAGCGGTGGTCAGGCACGTTAGCCTCTCCTGAGCCCATACTGATGCAGTCCTGAGAAGAGGGGGACAAGATGAGTTAGTCAGTGCACGCAGCCACGTTCAGCCCTGGAAAATATCCCTGCTGTTACTCAGATTCAAATTCATTTCATTTGCCATTTGCAGTGAAAACTTATTGGAAAACATTTGCATAAGTCCCCAGTGGGCACAAGACAAGTACATAAATAAAAACAAGATTAAAAGTGCAGGAATATAAATAAATAAAATGGTCACTATGAAATCGATCAACTAAAACAGTTTCAAAACAAGTGCAAGATTATTAAAGTGCTCTGTTTAAACTGATAAGAACGTGTGGAAAGAAGCTGTTGGCACAAAGAATAGCAAATTATGTCAAAAATATCTACACACGTATATTTGTAGCCTAAAGTCTTGAAGTGACCTAAAGGACACAAGGGAAGTTTTGCATGAAAAGGTCTCCCATCATAGAATCCCATCTAGAAGTAATGATACGGTAAAGCCACGGGTCTTCAAGTAGTAACCAGGCCCTGAATCTTTACAATGGTGTTTGTTTGGTTGTTGCAAAACATAGTCTGTGTAACTAATGAAAACATGTTTTGTATTCTATACAGTCACATGTATTTGCATTTGTTTGAATGTTCTTTAAAGTAGCCTTGATTTTCATGTTAAGTCATCATTAAATGGCCCTAATCTGTCAAAAGGCATTAATGAACCTTTTTTGCTTTTTTTGAATCCATCTTTAACTGATAACATTAGTTCAGGGATATTTGAATTTCAAAATAGGATTTACAGCTAATCCTACTGGTAAAGTAACACGTGGCCACAGACAAAACAAGGAGTAAACAAAGATTTCTATCAGGGCCTTTGGTTAGAGATTTGTTTCAGCTTCTATGGTTCCAGGTGGATTTGTCTGCATATCTGGAAACCTGAATCAGGCATCATTTTTACATATCTTCTTTAATATACATTTTTGTTTATTTTTTCACGGCACCTTTACTTTTGATAAGGGTTGTGTCTATTTTGGTTTTCCTGTGTGAGAGTCCATGGATATCCGAGAGACCACTGTGATGGAAATGAAAGGCACCATGCTGACCACTCACACAGACACTAGCTCACTACAGGATCAAGTCTGCAAAAAGATCAACTTAAAATTGCTGTATAAAAACGTGGCCATAAGAAGCTGGTTCTGCTGATACCTTGAGGATCTCCCCGTCTGCGTAGAGCACGTACACAGTCACTTCGATGTTCTTCTGGACGCTCTTTCCTCCTCGTTCAAAGTCTCCTCGCTCCAGCGTCAGGTACAGGTCATTTCGGACGTCACCTGTTTTCAGACAACACTATTGTACTTGGTTTTATTTTGACTTCAGTTCTGTGGTTTTGTTTTTAGTCTTTGATAGTCTGCACCGCCCTAATGTGCTTCACCTGTGTCCCTGTCTGTCTGTACCTGTGCTCTTCCTCATGTGTAGCTGGCCCTTTGTCTGTGTTGCTGTGTTTTGGATTTTTGCATACTTTGTTTACATGTTTGCACACTTCCTGTCTTTTTGCACAACCCGAGTGATTCTATCTATGCCAAATATGACATGTACAGTTCATCTTATCTATTCTTGCGTTTTGCGTTCTTGCGTCACCACACAACACATATATCTTGATAAATTAATGAGTATGCAATCTGAAAGGAATCTCTGCATTGTGGGTGTAATTTTGTGTTCTGGTGAATATATTTTTAAATGTTACTTATTTGTTGTCACCAAAAATAAGAAATTCTCACCGTACAGTATGTTCCAAACAAGGTCACAATAGGGAAAAGCAAAGTAAAGTTTCTCCAAGACTTGGTCCTCATGGCAGTAGAGAGTATAATACTCTCTACCAGAGCCCTGCACTTGAGCCCTTGGCCCGAGGGCCCCGACGGCCCGACAGCCCGAGGGCCGGGCTTCAGGCCGATGACCGCATAATGACCTCGGACATGGGCCGGGCTCGGGCTCTTCATTTTCAGAGCGGCAGAATACATTTACGAACGCACCCACTGAATATAGCGTTCTATCACGCAGTAGTGTTTGTTGTTCTGTGTAGTGTTGTCATTGACGGCACATAGCGTTACTTACAGGTGTGTTGCAGCATCTGGGCATCATACAGATGCGGCCGTTCACTCTGCACCACTCCGCACACACAGAACTCATTGCAACACATCACTACCATGTATAACTCCGCCCTCTAGCTAAGTCTGCGTTCATATCAGTGCGCGGCACTATATACTACGCTAAAACATTGTTATGGGAGGTTAAAAAAAAATAAAAAAAAAGGCGGGCTTGATGCGGGTTTTGGGCCTGAAAATTGAGAAACCATATCGGGCCGGGCCGGGCTGGGGCGCCACCCCCTCGGGCCAGGGCCGGGCTCGGGCCCAGATAATAGGCCCGTGCAGGGCTCTACTCTCTACCCCAATATTATTAATGAAGGTACTATTGATTTTTCTTGAACAGCGAGTTCCTATAGAGCAGGGATGTCAAAGTCAAATACATCAAAAAAACCAATTTGCTGCAAGCCGTGGGTAAAACTGGTTCAATATTTTTAAAATATTTTCAAATGATTGCACATAACCTATTGAACCAAGACCTAACACAGTGTTTTATTTAATGATTCAATAAAAATTCCAATACTTTTTGAATGGCTCTGTCAGTCATTTTCAGTGAACACATGTTTCAACAGACTCACAGACAAGAACAAACTTCCTTCAAAGAGAAAACACATGTCCTGAAAATGAAATGAATAATCCAATATTTTCTTATGACTCCGTGCGCCCGGTTCTATTACTAATCAATTATCATCCCGAGGGGCAAGAAAATTGATTCCCGGGTCGCATCTGCCCCCCAGGCCTTGACTTTGACACCCATATTACAGAGTCTCTCTTGGATACAAAGGAGAATGTATATGATGTGTCTGAAAGCCCTCAGAGACGGCTTGGAACTTGTTAATGCAAAGAACCATGACTTTGACACCAGTGAGCGTTGTGTGCACTGACCCGGCATGATGACATCAGGGAAGCCCAGTTTCCGGGTCATGGCGACTCCTCTGCTGAAGATGAGGGGGTTTTCTCTTCTCACCTGCTCTATGTCCCCTCGCAACAACTGCAGCGAGATGATCAGGCCTACGGGGGCAGAAAAAACAGTCATTACTTTTGGTTAATAAAGCCCAAATCTCTCTGTGCCCTTACACTAGTGCAGCTGTGACATATTGCCCCCATATGGACCAACATCTGACAACAATCTGACAACAATACAGGTTAAACAGTTATGGATTGCTAAAATTAAAACTGAAGGATTAAGTATGAACTGTGCAACAAAAATAAATGTTCCCTTCATTGCCTAATACAAACCAAATCTCAAAAGTCTGAGATAGTCTGGTAGAAGAGGAAAGAGAAGTTAAGTTGGTTTCAAAATTGATGATGTTTTTATTAAATGTGATACTAATCTCCAATGAAACAGCTGTGTCCAAATAATAATATAAAAAGAAAAGTAGAGCCATCTCTCCAAATTCACCTTGAAACGACCAAACAATCCTAAAACCAAATGATCCCAGGGTTTTTTACTGTCATAAACTGAATTGTAGTGGTCAGAGTCTTGGCCATGATGAAGGTTGCCCTGCAGAGGTAATTAAAATGATTTTGGTCAAATGTGGAGTGCTGACCTATATGTCAGTGGGCAGCAGTGACGTGCGAAGTGTTTGCAACAATGTCTTGCAGATTTGAGGCGTAATGAGAAATGATTTTTGTTTTGATGAGCGATACTATTTATAGATTGTAATGCAACACAGTAAAATATCTCTACTATCTCACCATAGTTGTTGCTGGGGGTGGTATATTTTGTGCTGGACTTTCTGATGATGTTTTCGTGGATCTGGTACCATTCATTCTCATTGTTACACCTGTAAAAGACAAACATGAAAAGTTGAATCTTAAATCGTGTCGCTAACATTATTGTTATTCAGCAATTCAATGTTTTTCCAGCATTGTGCAGCCCTTGTCTGGAGGTTTTTTATTTTGCATCGGCCTCAGGACACTCAAAGATGCTTCACATAATTTAAGAAAAGATAGACTTTATTGATCTCACACAGGAGAAATGGACATGTCACATCTGGCATGGATAAAAACACTCAAGATTGTGCAAAAGAAAGAAATGAGCAAACATGTTAAATGCAGGATATATTATGTACAATAAAAAGTGGCAATCAATGTCATCAATAGTCTTTCACTCCATACACGGTGGTGATATTTTGCTGGTGTAGCCACAGCCACCAGCCATCCACACATACACACAATACACTAATTCTAGGCAATGTGGGTGAAGTGACTTGCCTAAGGAGGTCTCCCATCACAGTACTAACCAGGCCCTTCCCAATACAGCTTCAAAGGTTTGACGGGACCTGGCTTTTGCATGCAAGTATAGCCACCTTTCTCCTACTTGATATATGACAAACCTTTATTTTGTATTTTGAATGTACACCATAAGCCTATTTTACAAAGCACTGTCCCCTGTGCCTCAACAATAAAAAGTACCATCTTGCACAGAACAATGAAAATACCACCAGCAGCTTTCTCTTGAACATCAGAGCCTGCTCCTCGGCCAGACTGAGAGCTTAAGGCCTTGTACTAAAGAAGTGTGTGTGCGATTGTAAAGCACGGTTCATCTGAGGCAGCACGCACAGACATTACATCACATGGCCACCGGGAGTGCTGTAGGGCTCCTGCGGGCTTTGTCTCTCTCAGTATGGTTGAGAAAAGGCAGTGAGCCAGTGGCCGTTGTGAAAAGACAATGTGGTGATGAAGAGAAGTCTGCTGTGAATGGGGATTTTAGCTTTTTTAAGGAGGGGGTTATGTTAGTGCAGATTACCTCAAATAGACGTGGCAAAAGCATTGGTCTTATGAGCTGCACTTGGTACTTAAGTCAAAGTAAAAATGTACTCTGGTAAAAGTGTTAAAGTAAGACCTTGAGTGAAAATATATTACGTGTCATATGTTAAAGCTATGACCTTAGGCAACATGCACTTTTGTGGAATAATTTACAACATATACATTTGGGGATTTTATTGCGTTCTGCAAAGTAACTAGTTTTTTGTATTTAATTGTGAGAAGTAAAAAATAAACGCTTAAAGTAAAACGTTTTCAGCTCAAGCTCAATGAAGCCCAAAAGGGAAGTGTTCATGGACGAAGTTTACAAAGTATACACTAGCTCAGAAATCACATGTGTCACACTCTATAAAGAGGGATCTAAGAACAGTGATGATCTGTGTGATTTATGGAGATTTATAAACATTTACAGTGATCGGTCAACTCAACATGTCTCGCTTTGTTTTGAAAAGTAGGATGTGGGTGATTTAAAATATAAGTTGTTTAATGCATTACTCACGTGTAGACCTTGAGCACAAAGTCTTTCTCCTCCTTGAGCTCAGAGATGGTCTGCAAGACGTCGCTCATGGCGAGGACCGCGCAGCCGTACGGTCGGCGGTACTGGACGTGAGGAGGGCCCTTCTTACTGTCGTTCAGCAGCATGCGACCTGAGGCAAGAGAACAGGACATTTCACTGTGTTAAGGATGGACTGAGGTCTTTCAAATGCAGATGGGGAACACACAACTGAACATAGGAATAACACACACATCTCATTCACATACAGAAGGCTGCTAATCAGTGGGGGCGGGTCGGTAAAAGACATCCACATGCGCTAACATGCTTGCCACCTCACTGCGGGCCGGTGGGGGTGTACCCGGAATGAGAATTACCCAATGCTTTTGTATGGCGTCTTCTTTCCTCTTGAAAACGTCTTTACAGGTTGGTCCAAAAGTCACTCTTGGCTCAGCGCTACGTTCCACATGTGTGTAAATGCTGTTTGTTTTTTTGTTTTTTGGACAAGCCTAGTTTAGTCACTGTGGACTTTACAATGCCAAAATGAATGGCATTTATTCAAATGAATGTGGCTCATGCCGGCAAACTCATGCGCTAATACGTTTTTTCAACATTTTCCTGCCCCACGGCCATTTTGAAAGTGCCCACAGAAGGCAACAGTGGTGGGCCATTAGTTTCACTGGCGGACATAGGCGTCACTTCGTCCATTAATATTTACAGTCAATGGTATAAATCCATCTTACCTGTGCGTATCACCTGTGCCACAATGTACAGCTCTCTCTTCATGTCTTTGTTGCTCAAATCCTGAGAAAACACACATTTTATGAAGTGACCAAATGCTTTTGAATGTTTAGCTCTCACTCTATAAACTGGTTTGAAATTTGAGCTTAATGTAAGTCCCAGTTTGAACCTCATTTTGGGTTCAAATAAATACTGCAAGTACATTAAAATACAGTAATTACAAACAGATACGCCTACAGCATTTAAAAATATAACATTCAGAATAATTATTGCAACAATAAATCATCAGTCAAACATTGGTCACAACCCAGCTCACATTCCAATATTAGTATAATTACTGCTGCAGTAAGATCAATTTTGTGTAATGAGGTGAATTTATTATTTAATTTGTGAGATTTCCGTATACCGTGAAAAGCGCACACAGCCGGTCCACTTTCTCTGGGTTTCTTGGTCCACCATTTTTGTTGAGTCTCACCATGAACTTCTCACTATAAAACAAATGTACAAAGTTAGGGCGCAATGAAAATCTGCATAATTGTGGTACGACTGTTTAAAATTCTAAAATGAAGCATCAGGTACACTTGAATGCAGACTTGGAGAATAAAGTACAGTTGTCCATCGTTTATCACAAAAGTTGCAATCTAAAAATGACCCTCAATAAACAAATATTATATTTCTAAGGCTGCAAAACTCCTCAACACAACATATACACTTTATTAACCACCTGAACCAAAGTTAGGAGATAAACAACTGTTTCTACTATCTCTGAATACTTTTGAATCCGTTGGAAACAGTTCTGAGAAACTCTGAAACAGTTGTTGTTTTGAGTTCTACAATTTTTATTTTTATTGCTTTTGTCTACCTGACATGTTGCTGCAGTACAGTGTTCATGGTTTTGCACTGGTCCAGATCGGCGCAGAGAGGATTCATGGTCTGAAACAAGTGGATCACACAAAAATCCCCTGGAGGAATGCTACCTATTTTGAAAAAAGGCTAACGAAGCATTCAGCATTTGACTTTGGACCAGAGCAGAGAAAATGGTCCAAACCAAGCGGCTACTCCACCTATGCTGCTGTGATCTAAAGAACAGTAGCATTTTAATACTATTGTTAGCTATTTTTAGATTGCCACCCCCCCCGACCCAAAAATTGACTAATAAAGGGGTTGAAAATGAATGAATGTTATACTAGAGGTCATATAATAGTGTATATTGACATTTATGGACATTGGTCATCTGCCCCTTATGGACCAATGGCACAATGTATTTTTAATATCAATGCTTGTGTTTTAACTATTTGATTCTCTGATCTGTGTTGGCAAATTTGACGGTTTTGTCCTTAGAGAAAACTACTTTTATGATTTAGGGTGATACAAGAAAAAATAAAATTGAAACGAATTACAAAAGGAATGAGCATCACGCTGTAAAAACAAAAAAACCCACAACAAATCTGTAAAATAGCGAGGCTGCAAAAAGGTAAACCGTGCAATAGTCAGGGACCACTGTGTACCATAACAAAGCCACACTTTTGTCTGACGAAAAGTTGCGCGCAAAATGTCACTCACTAAAACGTTTATTATTGGGAGATTTGAGTTTTGAGGACATTTTTTAATTTGTCTTTACAATTAATTTTTTTTAAAAGATAAAAGCCTTATATTTGATATGTAAGTGGCACACACATTTGAATAACACACACACACACACACACACACACACACACACACAGGCAGTCTCAAACCAGATTAAAAAGCAAACATGAAGTGCAAAACAAATATAAAAACCCTCATATTTGAACACTGCCTCCAGACGCTGAACCTTGAGTGACAGACAGGAGTTTTAATGAAGCCACTTGTCATATACTTGCAGAGACTTTCCTTGATTTGACACCGAGATTAGGCGCATAACTGCAATAACAGGAGCCAGCGAGAGCAGATATCCTCACAAACAATGTCAGAATATTTATACAGGCTATTTACACACCGCTCTGGAGATATGAGGGGTTAGCAGACGCAGAATGCTAAATAAATATGTATTCTACCGCCAGTATTTGAGCATTATGTTTTCAGAGCATTTTTGCAAAGTATTTATGAGATAGAGGTCAGTATACCGAGGTGGTTTTAGCTTGACCCTATTGACTTCTTGACAAAGTGGGCGTAAAAACCTTCTGTTACATATTTTCTCCTTCGTTTCAAAGCGTTTGGATTCCGTGAAACAACTCAAAAATTAAACATACAGCATTACAGTATCTTTTCTTTCTCCTCCATTTCAACTATTTCACAGACTTCTCTTCCTGACTGTCTCGAACGGCATTTTGTCCCTAAGATAAGTACAAAGTATGTCTTATCATGGCTTTATAAATTCCGGTTGAAGTTTTCAGAAGGAGCTGGAGGCCACAACATCTTCTTTTTAATTACCGCTTCAACACCTGTGTGCCACCGAGACAAAAACATGAGTCACTATGTCATTATTCTTGGGATTTTTATGGAAGAAACTTTCTACACGCTCCTTGCAATAAAGACAGTACACCCCCACCACCTGCTCGTCTCCATGGTGATGCGGTTGTGCTTCGAGGGATGTTCCTGATTGGTTCTTTATATTTACCCTTCCTCAGATTGAGAAGGAATACACTAGGCAGAAAAGTCTACGGACGATGATCCTTGAGATTCAAAATTCACCGACATTTATGGACCTATTAACATTTATGGACATTGGTCATCTGCCCCGTATGGACCAATGGCTCTATTTTGTTTGTCATCATTGCACTACAGTATTGATATTTTTGAAAGATTGATGTTGAAGCATTTACAGCTAGCTAAGAAACACAGCAGCTCCTTATTTTGTATATTTTGTGTGCTGTCTGTGTGCTCTTACTACTGTCCTGTATGTGCGCTGCAACATTGAAATTTCCCCACTGTGGGACATATAAAGGATCTCTTGTCTTATCTGTGTTTGAACTGTTTGATTCTCTGATCTGTGATGGCGAATCGACAGCTGTGTAAAAGTCCTCCAAGATGACTTCTGCTGTGTTTTAGGGTGATATTATAATAATTTGAATTGATTGGACCAGAAACTTTATGCCACATACTGTGTTTTGTTATGAAAAGTTAAGAATATTCTGTTTATTTTTGTTTAAATAGGGACATAAGGATATAAAAAGGGATGGAACCAGTGAGTAATGTCTTACTTAGTTTTGTAGTGGTGGGTTTTAACAATCCATCCTAAAGTACATTCAATCTTTGAATCAACTTGAAAGTTCAATATACCCTTTTTTTCAAGCAGAACACTCACAAACAAAGATAAACTGTGTGGACTTGGAAATGCATTTGCAAATAAAGATATACTGTATATTGTTTAAGAATTGACATGTATCATTTGAGTGACATTTTCTCCTATGTTAATCCAAGGTGATGTATCAGCCGCTCTATAGAGGCTGGGGACTATATACGCTGGAGACTATAGAGGCTGGAGACAGGAGGCTGGAGACTCTAGAGGCTGGAGACTAGAGGCTGGAGACTGGAGGCTGGAGACAATCTAGGCTGGAGACTATAGAGGCTGGAGACTATAGAGGCTGGAGACTAGAGGCTGGAGACAATCTAGGCTGGAGACTATAGAGGCTGGAGACTAGAGGCTGGAGACTATAGAGGCTGGAGACTAGAGGCTGGAGACTAGAGGCTGGAGACTCTAGAGGCTGGAGACAATCTAGGCTGGAGACTATAGAGGCTGGAGACTATAGAGGCTGGAGACTCTAGAGGCTGGAGACTCTAGAGGCTGGAGACAATCTAGGATGGAGACTATAGAGGCTGGAGACTAGAGGCTGGAGACTATAGAGGCTGGAGACTACAGTAGAGGCTGGAGACTATAGAGGCTGGAGACTATAGAGGCTGGAGACAATCTAGGCTGGAGACTAGAGGCTGGAGACTAGAGGCTGGAGACTATAGAGGCTGGAGACAATAGAGGCTGGAGACTAGAGGCTGGAGACTAGAGGCTGGAGACTATAGAGGCTGGAGACAATAGAGGCTGGAGACTATAGAGGATGGAGACTACATAGAATTGCGGCTAATTAATGTATTTTTATTGTGGTAGAGTATTCCCCGGGAGCAGGAACAAACTTGGAGACTGCTCCATCAGCTGTTGATTAAGTACCTGCCCTGAAACAAACGTAAAATAAGATTTTTTTTTTAAATCAATCAATCCAATACTCCTTCTTCATGGCATAACTCCTGTCAGTATGTTTTGCTGATAGAGAATAGTGTGACCAATGGGGGGAGAGCTCACATGTTAATAAAGAATGTGTCTTGCTATCTGTACAAGAGAAGTTTTCATGAACCAGCGGTGGTAAAAAAAAAAAAATGTATCACCAGAGAAGTTAAACTAATTATAAGCTGGATCAAGTTTGTGTCACATAATTAGTGGCAAACATAGTATGAAATGAAGCCAGTATTGTCGTCCTTCCGCTCATGATTTTCTGCAGCGTGGATGAATCATGCACGTGCACACTCGGTCACGTGCACGCGCAAACACAACTGAATATGTACGACAGCGCTTCCACATGAGCGCCCTCCACCGCCCTCTGTACGAGAACACAGCTGCTGCGGCCGCGCATATGTAAACAGCAAGAAATGGGAGATCATTGTATGTGGGACAAAGCTATTCATGGCTTTAGAATAATAATGGCAATGGCCCTTTGTGAATACAGTCATCAACCTTTTTCAAATTCAGATTCAGAGTCAGACTACTTTATTTATCTCACCAGGGGCAATTAGTTTGAGCAGCACATAATTAAAGCAAATGAAAAATAAAATAACATAACAAACACAAGAAATAAGCTAAATTGTAATTATTTTCTCTTTGGATTAGCTGGAGTTCTTGATAAATAATCCGTGAGTATCTATTGGACTAAATTCACACAAATATGTCAGAAAATGTGTTGGTTGTTGATCCCTGTATTGTTTGAGTCAATGAGAATACTGTATCCCAGACCTGGATTCATGTTTTGGTTCGATATAGAAATACTATTAAGGTGTATAGGAGGATTTTCCCAATTTTTAGGAAAATACCGCCCTCTCCACTTTTTGAACTAAACCAGGCATGTCCAAATTGTGTCCCTCAGTGTCATTTTATGTGGCCCTCTGCCTTGCTAAACCGAACTAGTCTTTGAGATCATAAGTTCACTGTTTCATCCATCCAACTTCAGCTCAGCCAATATTGACCCCGTTGTAAAGCCCATATGTCTGGAATTCAGTCATTGACTTTGTTTGTACATTCTGAACTGACGGTTTTAGATTGTGTCACAAAATTCCATTAATGGTGCTACTGTGGCTGGTGAGATGGTAAAGATTTGTCATTCAGCCAACTTCAGCTCTGTTATAGATCATTTTAAATCTCAGAACAGCTCGATGCCAGAGATTTGTTCAGGGGTGTCCAAACATTTTAGTAAGAGGGCCACTTCACCAGACTAGTCTAGAGGCTGGCTTCACGGACTAGTCTGGTGAGCTAAAGTGGCCCTCTTACTAAAATGTTTGGACACCCCTGAACAAAATTCTCTAGTCTTATTTGACGAGCACGAATCACCAGAATGATTGACAATTGGGAGGACCAATAGTCTTGATGATCCACCCTGAAGTAGAAAGTCCTCCTATATACCTTTAATACTAAATACTTGTATTATTACGAGAAGGTCACGGGTTCACTGCAGAGTAGATTTTGTATCAATCAATTCATTTGTGTAAAGCACTGTTCATACAAACGTTTGTGCTTCTTCCAGACCGTTGCTTTCCCCCATCACCAATAGGATGTAACGTGAATCTGGTGTGGGAGCAATTGATTGGTGAGGGTCAGAGAGGCCATCGGCTCACACTGGCAGTAGCACCTCTGTCAGCATGACCCTGGGCAGCTGTGGCAACAATTTTAGCTTACCACCACAGAGATGTTGACGTGTCTGTATAACTTACTACAAAAGTACAACTTCTAAACTGTTTATTCATATTGTGCATGATTCGATCTCCCATCCACTGTCATATGTTTAATCTAGATCTATCTGTGACACTACTGCAGCAAGTGAAGGAACCAAACACCACTTCTAACTGACAAAATCCATGATAGTTACATCACCCGGTGTATTGGATTCTATTACAATCTGTATATTTCATAACACCTCTGCCTTTCCTGCAAAACTGATTTGTATGAAAAGAACAGCATTTGTGAATTTATTATGGTTTATTTGAAACTAACTCTGTGGGAGCATCTGTTACGTCGTTTCCCGGTTCACTATTTTTCAGGATAATGACCATTCAAGGATCAATATCACAAAAACACTCTATACAGTAGCCACAGCTGCCCCGGGGTACACTAACAAAAGCAAGGCAACCAGTCTGTGCCAATGGCCCCTCTGACCACCACCAACCATTCACACAAACACCAGACTCATGTGGGTGAAGTGTCTTGCTTAAGGACACAGCAACAGTTTGGCACTTTACAGTCGCAGCTGCCCCACTTTGGCATCTGGTGCTCCCAGAGGTCTCCCATCACAGTACTAACCAGGTCCTGCCCTGCTTAGTTTCAGAGGTCTGGCTTTCACATGCAAGTTTGGCTGCAGCTTTTAAGTTTTTAATTAGCTGTGAGTGGGCAGTGTGTGGTCAAGTAGTAACAGAGAGTACATGGAAATGAAATGAAGCTGCAGAGAAGTGATAATGATTGGTCACTAATTAACACACGTCAGAAAGTTACACTCAGCGATGTTCACAGCGTTATTATAGTGGTGTTGGGGTAAAGAAGAAGTCCTGCTCTTTTTCTTTAGGGTAAGTATTTATGTTTATGTGGTGACAAGGTTTATTTGGACACAAAGTGGAAAAGCCATGTTCCAGCTTCTTCCCTCTGGCAGAAGATATCGTTTTCTGAGATTCAGGACACCTCGTTTTGCTAAAAGCGTCTTTCCACCTGTTATCAGCTCAAACAGAACACTTGATCTTGTCTTTGTACTGCTTAGTTGATAGATTTCACAGTGACAGTTGTAATTTTTGTAGTTTTAACCTTGTTTTATTTACTGTATGTACTTTTCTTGTGCTCACTGGGGACTGTTGCAGATGTATTCCAATGTGGTTTTACTGCAAATGGCAAATAAAATGAATCTGAATCTTGAGTCAAAACATTCTTTGGGAGAATTCTCAGTATTTCAATGATTTGAATGGGAGCAGTAAAATGTAGTTTCAGAATTCTGGGAGGCAAATAGACACATATCCGGCACGTACTGTAATACATAGTTCAGAATCCTTTTATCTGTACCCCGTCCTGGAGGAGCACCGGTGACATGTTCTCCAGCCTCTGCAGCACTTAACTGCTGAGATAAGTGGCAACTGCATGGACCCAGGAGTGAGAAATCTGCTTCTTAGTTCAGTATTTAAGTATTTATACTTTAGACAGTGTAGTCCCACATAGAACAAAGCTCATCGCTACATGTTATTTATTTATTTATTTATTTATTTTTCGGAATTTAAGTACATTGACTGTCGTAAAACAAACTATTTAGTCTTATTTTAAGAACTATTGCTGTATTTTTCTCTTTCCATGGTAGGAATTTCTTGTATCTTTTTAAAACAAGATAGTTTTGATTGTCCCTTTGGCAAATAGTGTTTGAAGGCAGTCGAAATGTGCTCAAATTTTAGCATTTCTTTACTTATTTTTCATCACTTTGTGCAGTGTAGGTGAATATAAAATACATCTGAAAAAGCCTTAATCCCAGTCTTGTCATTAAAGACTAAAATCAGATGACATCCTAAACGTGTGTCTCCTGCACATATAATATCTGTCCTCTCTGCTTTAGTGGGACACATGAGCGTCTCTGGGGAGGATGCTGTTCGCTGATGCTGAGTCAGACCACTGAAACTACAGCACCAAGGTCGTGTGTGATACTCAGAGTAAATGGGCTTTGGTGTGGTGCAGACCCACACCGCTGCCAGACGAGGCACGTATGTAATCCCTGTGAACATGAAGAGAGCTTATTTTGCTTTTACTACAGCTAATATGCCAAGAAATACAGAAAGAGTCATCTGAAGCAAAAAATAACAGTAACATGTGTTGATAGGAACAAAATGGGAAGATTCAACACAAGCTTTTGCAAGAATCAATTCACAGTTTAAAGATAGTCAGTGATTTTTTTCCAGACTCATTTCTTAAAATAATTGTGGGAAAACGTCCCTAAACCCAAAAAGTAGTCAAGATATCATGTGTTTTCAAATAGTAATGGAATTGACCAGCTCCTACTGCAAATGGCAAATAAATGAATCTGAATCTGAATCCCTATAGTCTACAAAATTTAATGAAAAATATTTTGGAGCGGGCCGATAAAAATAACCCAACGAATCAATGTTTCTTGCGAGTGCACGCAACTGAGTTATCGGATTTTCTAAAATCTGAAAGGGCTGAACAGAAAATGACAATATCACGTTTGCCGCCCACTTAATTAATTAATAAAGCATGTTTCTCTCTGTTTAGTGATCGATCTTTCATCTCATTGATTCATTGGATTTGTATATATTTCATGAAAAAGTGCTAATGTTTGTTTGTTGCCATTAAGCAGACTATCAAGTCAAGTAATGAATAATGCATAATTACCATATACTCTGCCCTCTAATACATCAACTTAATATAGATAGATAAGTAATTTATTATCAGACTTAAGACTCCCAATGACATAATAATGATAACGGGACATAAACCCCAGTTTGAGAAGCAGTGTCCGGACTGACCTGATGGTCTTGGCTTCTCTGCAGTCGTACAGACAGAAGAATATGTCCGTGTCTTCTCCGATGCTGTTGTAGGTGAAGCTCTTCAGGTTGACCAGTAGGTGGTGTGGTACAGGGACACGGCACGGCTCTCCATGTTTCTGTTTGGAGTTGTCGTTCTGAAAGAAAAAAAAAAGTAAGTATATTAGATGGTTATTCTCAATTCCAGAACCAGCTGATTGGTTCTGGTCAGTGGTGGTCAGTGTTTTTAGCAACATTCCAATGTGTGAAACCATTGATGGGTTTTCTTTTGCAATCAGGGCTCTGGGCTGAAGTCATACTGTAGACTGCATAGAGCCACCGACAGAGAGGGTGTCAAACTGTACTTAAAAATTTGTGACGAAATCTTGTTGAAATAACAAATAAAAATCAACTATTCCCCTGCATTTCAAACACACAGAAAAACTGACTACAATTATAAAAGCTTATATTTTCTTAACAACGTAAAAATAACAATGCTGGCCCGTACCACCAATCAACATTTACTTATTTGTCCAGGGCCACAGCTTTAAGGACAGTACATCTGCCTCTGCTTCAACCATTTCTTCCTTTAAATCAAAGTCAGACTATTATTTTTCCAATTAATTATATTTGATCATAAAGGAACCAAAACACTTAATTAAACTCCCAGAGCAGTCAATTTGACGGGTTTTGCTTTGGAAGTGTAAATTCTCCGTTACTTCCTAACTTTGTGACTTTTCCTATATCTAAATGTGGTTAGAGCCAATCTCAGCTCGGGGCAAGCGCTAGTTACCATGGCAACATAGCACTGTTTACTTGCAGCAGTTAGCATTTAGTTTGGTGGTTTTTCAGTTATATTCACCAGTTTTAGCCTGTAATAAAAATATGTATGAATTAGTAAATAAGTAAGTAATCTGTATTTATATTGCACATTTTAACAGACCAAGGTCACCCAAAGTATACATTGTACACGTATAGTTTTGTTTTGTTTTTTTTGTATTTATTTATGTTATTTTGTATTGTCCGAATAAAGACTCATTCATTCATTCAAAGAGCACAGTTCAGATATTTTTCCATTCTCTCCACTCACAGCTAATTCATGACTCAAAAACTAAAAACTTTAAACTACAACTACTTTTTTTTTTTCTTTCACAATTCCTGAGTGGATAGCACCCTCGCCTCTCAGCAAGAAGGTCCTGGGTTCAAATCCCAGTCGGAACAGGGTCTTTCTGAGTGGAGTTTGCACGTTTTCCCCTTGCTTGCGTAGGTTTGGTCCGGGAGCTCCGGTTTCCCCTACCACTAAAAACATGCACACTTGGTTAAATCCTCCAGCTCCGGTAGTCCTGACCAAGCCAAGCATCAACATCTGGAGATGGGTTTCCGGGCGGTGTACTACGGCGACCACTGCTCCTGAGCAGTCAAATGCAGAGGATTGAATTGCCCTACGGGGATTAATAAAGTGCACCTTTACTTTTACCTTACAATTCTGTTAACTTAAATGGGAGCCGTTAAAATGACTGCTTTGAGAGTTCTGGTAGTTTCAGAGTTCTGCGAGTCCTTGTGTTAACCAGGAGGCAGGAAATAAGTTGTAAACCGCTTTGTGACTCTGGTCTGCGGTATACGAATAAAGATTACTTACTTACTTACTAAGGTTAAACCACGGATTCCTCCAAAGAAAGAGTCCCTGCTAACTTACCTGTGTGGTGCTCTGCTGTACGCTGTGGCGGCTCGACAGGTGCTGTGGAGAAAAACACATGAATCAAAGCTTTATTCTTTCTCCACGTCATGACTTCACACTCTCCCTCTTTGTGATGAAGCCTTTTTCGCCAAAGAGTTTGAAATAAGCAGTGGCTAGAATAGCAAAAGTGTCTACACAAAACAAATGCTGACAGAGCCTACTCCATCACTCTGACAAAACACATGAGGAGTAAATCAATCTCAAAGAACTGTCAGGTTTGCTGCGTTTGCTCAAGAAAAAAGTCATTGTGCTCGTTTTAAACATGCTGTATTCACAAATTTGTTTGGAAGAGTGCGCGTGCACACACGGGAGAAACCCCTTATAAGGCGTGCTCTCTCGTCATTGGATAAGCGCATAGGATGTGAGGTTTTTTTATTAAATATGTGGGAGAAGACTGGAAGGACTGAGAGATCCGTGTTTAGGTACAAACACTCTATATAAGTGATGGCTATTGGAATATATCAATATTTAAGACGTATATTAACACCCAAAAATCGCTTACTGCTGCTTTAATGTAGTTGATGTTGCTCTGTCGGATCATTTCTGTGTATTTTTTAACATGTGTTTTGCTACCAGACCACCCGCTAAATATGAAATTGTTAGAAGTAGACACTTAAATGAAAACACGGGTGAACTATTTATGGGAATCAGGGACGTGCGGTGAGGTTTGTGATTGGGGAGGCACTGACTTTAAAAGTCAGATTTACAATCCTTATTCAAATAAAATAGCATTTAATCACCAATGCAATGACATCCACAAACTTTATATACTGTAAAGATAAGAGAACCAGCTTCTTTTAATAATCTCACAACAAATCTAGCTGCTGACTCTGCTCCGCATCAAACAACATCTTTAAGAAGCGCAGGTGCGAGAGACGCGAGGAGAGAGAGACGCGAGGAGAGAGGAGCAGAGAGAGACAGAGAGGAGCAGAGAGACGGAGACGCGAGGAGCAGAGAGAGACAGAGAGGAGCAGAGAGAGACAGAGAGGAGCAGAGAGACGGAGACGCGAGGAGAGAGAGACGCGAGGAGAGAGGAGCAGAGAGAGACAGAGAGGAGCAGAGAGACGGAGACGCGAGGAGCAGAGAGAGACAGAGAGGAGCAGAGAGAGACAGAGAGGAGCAGAGAGAGACAGAGAGGAGCAGAGAGACGGAGACGCGAGGAGCAGAGAGAGACGGAGACGCGAGGAGAGAGAGACGCGAGGAGAGAGAGACGCGAGGAACATAAACAATAATTTAAACAAGTTGCAGAACTCTTGAGCAGTGTTTGAATCAGTGTTTTTCGGAAAAGCACTACTTTGCCGGTATCTGTCAATGTTCAACATAAAACACAGATTAACAAACTCCTCCCCCGCAGCCGGACTAACCTCGTAAGTCCAGTGGTGGTCTCCCAGTCTATATTAATTCTTTCTTTGTTTGAAAGTCCAATTGAGAAAAAAAAATCTTCATTCAAATCATCCATTTTCCAGCAAAAGAAATAGCATTTTGGGCTGATTGTTTGTTAGCAACTCTGGTATGAACTTTATGCTCACTATCACCCCTAGCGGTGAGGCACAGATACCGCCTGCCTCACGCCAAGCTTTTTCCTTGTGTGTTCATCTACGATCAAAAGACTTAAACTAAATATAAATTGTACACACATACGTGCAATACACTACTAAACACTAAGAGGAGTTTAAAAAATGTTTTTAAAGCAGGATATTTGAAACAAACGGTGATATATCAACTGCACGAGCTGAGTGCACTCAGACACACACACACACACTGTGAGGGAGCGGTCTGGGGTGAGGCACGCAGGAGCGCTGCCTCACCTCGTCTCTTTGAATAGGAATAACGGGATTTCGGCGATTTTGACTTCAGAAATGATCAAAACTGATGGGAACCGTGCCGAATATACATTAAAAGCATAGGACAGTGGATATAAATTATATATTTAAACTAAAATAATTATTAGTTTCCAATAATGGCAGGTGAGGCTCTGCCTCCCCTGCCTCCCCTGACTGCACGTCCCTGATGGGAATGATCCATTTTGAGAACACATCATGTTCTACTGTAGATGAACTGTTTAACTCTGTCACCTCTAGTGTGTTGAATGTTCTGGACGCCATTGCCCCTGTGAAGGTAAAAATGGTCACAAATAAGAAAAAAGCCCCATGGATAAAAGCAGGCCCGGTCAGGGCACAGAAGCAAGAGTGCCGGAGAGCAGAGAGAAAGTGGAGAAAGTCCAACCTCCAGGGTGATTATAAACTCTTAAAAGAGAAGTTGTGTGAGTTTAACAGAGTACTACGTAGAACAAGAGAATTATACTTTTCTGAAACTATTGAAGGCTGCAGCAACAATCTGCGTGTTCTATTTTCAACAATCAATAGACTAACGAACCCCCCTGTTGAGTTGCCATTAGAACACTACTCCAAATCCAGGTGTAATGAGTTTGCACAGTTCTTCAGAGACAAGGTTCAGGGTATCAGAAATACCATCACCTCCACAACACAAGTAACAATGCAACATCCAGTGAGGCTTTGTGAGCTAGCTCAATTTGCACCTGTCAATGATGAAACTGTTAAAAAGATAATCACAGGTCTTAGTTCCTCTACCTGCAGTCTGGATGTACTACCTCCTAGATTTCTGAAGTCTGTTATGTGTAGTCTATTACCCTCATTGACACAAATAGTAAACATGTCTTTTTTATCTGGAACATTTCCAATGGCCCTGAAAAAGGCAGTCATCAGGCCCCTCCTAAAAAAGAGCAGTTTGGATGCTGCGGTACTTGAAAATTACCGTCCCATCTCAAATCTGCCTTTCATGGGAAAAATTCTTGAAAAAGTTGCCTACCAACAACTTACTGAATTTTTAATATCTAATGACTCATTTGACATGTTCCAGTCTGGCTTTAGACCACACCACAGTACTGAGACCGCTCTAGTCAAGGTAACAAATGATATTCGGCTTAACAGTGATGCAGGAAAAGTCTCTGTTTTAGTCATGTTAGATCTGAGTGCCGCTTTCGACACCGTTGACCATGAGATTCTCATGCAGAGACTGGAGGACTGGGTTGGTGTTGCTGGTACCGCCCTAAGCTGGTTTAGGTCCTATCTAGAAGAAAGGAAGTATTGTGTGGAGATTGGAGACTATGTCTCAGATAATATGGCCCTGACCTGCGGAGTGCCACAGGGGTCGATTCTGGGACCTCTCCTGTTCAATATTTACATGCTGCCATTAGGTCAGTTAATTCAAAGTATGAAAGTGTCCTACCACAATTACGCTGATGACACTCAGATCTATGTCTCACTGACTGCAGGAGAGCATGGACCGGTGGACTCACTCCTTTGCTGTATCCAGCGGATCAGTGAGTGGATGCAATGCAATTTTCTCCAGCTAAATGCGGACAAAACCGAAATGATTGCCTTTGGTCCCGAGAAACAAAGAGAGACCGTCATTTGTCACCTTCAGTCTCTCTCCCTAAGGCCTTTAAATAAGGTCAGAAATCTGGGAGTAATAATGGACTCTGACTTAAACTTCAATAGCCACATTGGATCGGTAACATCAGCAGCTTTTTATCATCTGAAAAATATTGCCAAAATTAAAAATATTGTGTCCAAAGCAGACTTGGAGATTCTTATCCATTCTTTTGTTTCCAGTAGGCTGGATTACTGCAATGGCCTGCTCACAGGTATCTCCAAACATGCAGTAAAACAGCTGCAGTATATTCAAAATGCTGCAGCCCGAGTCCTGACTAGAACCAGGAAGTACGACCACATTAGTCCGGTCCTCAGGTCTCTGCACTGGCTTCCCGTGGCCCAGAGGATAGACTTTAAAGCAGCTCTCCTGGTGTACAAGTCTCTCCATGGCCTTGCACCAAAGTACATCCATGATATGCTAGTCCCATATGAACCAGCCCGGACTCTGAGGAGCGCAGGGACGGGACTCCTGTTAGTGCCCAGAGTCAGGACTAGACAGGGGGAGGCTGCTTTTCAGATTTATGCAGCTAAGGTCTGGAACAGTCTTCCTGAGGATGTGAGACTGGCTGCCTCTCTGTCAATGTTCAAGTCCATGTTAAAGACTTTTCTTTTTTCCTGTGCATACAACTAAAGAATTTTATCTTTTTAACACACCTTGTTATTTATTGTTGTAACTTTTTGTGTTTTTAACTATTTTATTGTTTTTAATTACTTGTGTGATTCTTATGTTTTTAAATTACTTATGTGATTTTAATGCTTTTTAATTACATATGTGTTTTTAATTGTATTTTAATGGTGATGATTTGTGCATTGTGTGGTGTGGACTGTGAGGCGCTTTGTGTTGCCCTGTGCAGGAAAAGCGCCCTATAAATAAAGATTGATTGATTGATTGATTGATAAAAATAGCACATGGAAAAAATATATTTTCCCCATGGATAATTTTGTGAATGTGTTCTCCACAGACCTCCATGTGACTCCATCTAATGTCACCTGTGCATGTAATGCTACACTGTGGAAAGCATTTCCATTTCACAGAGAGAAATGTATTCACCCGGTTTTTTTCAAATATGGAACAAAAATGAAAACAATGACTGTGATTTACAGTACTTTGGTTCAATTTTCCTTTTTTTTTTCTTGAGACGCTCTTTGTCAATACAGGGAGGACGAATTTAGGGACATTTATTAACATTGATAGTATTGCATTTTCAAAGAAACTTGTTCAAAGACTGTTTGATTGTCTTGATCTGTTGTTGGCTTTGTAAACTCACTCACCACAGTTCTTAACAAAAACATATCCAAAGAAGGACAAACAAAAGCCTTCGATGTTGGATTCTTGTCGTTCTGTCTGGGACTCGACAGGAGACAACAGAGCACTATGGTCTGACACACACTGTCTAGATCAGAGGCCTTTGTGTGCAGTGTATTCACTGTGGGCAGTGGGCTGGATGTGTGCATACAGTACGTACTCGTTGCCCCAGTCCAGCCTCACGGTGATGTGCCTCTTCACCTCCCGGCTCTGGTCCTGGGTCAGATGCCCCGACAGCAGCTGCCTCCTGAGGTCCAGCAGCTCCAGCATCACGTGGCGCACTTTGTAGAACAGGTCCACCTTGTGTTTCTGAGGGCAACCAGACAAGAACAAGTATGTCAATAAAGAAGAAAATGTTGATAAATAATATAAACAAGTATGAAAATAATGATTTAACTGTTATCTCTCATTTCCCACATTTCTCTGAAGATCCCTGTTTAGTATTTTGTTTTTCAAATCAGGTGTACTGTGGGAACTGTGTTGTAGTATTGTCACGATACTAAGATTACAAACTTGATTCTGACACTGAGACAGAAACTTGAGGCTTGATTTTGATTTTGACAGTGATCTGAAATGTTTAACATTTATATAGACATGTTTAACAACTGAACTAGACATGAGGAGGTAGCGTTTCAGAATTATGCAGGTAAAATCTGGAACAATCATCCTGATAATGTGAGGCAGACGTCTACTCTGGTAGTTTTTTAATATCAATGATTTGATATAAATATATAACAATAATAATATACATTATTTGTTTATGAATTAAAAAATATTATTTTCTTTTCTTTATTGGCAATGAGTATCAAGTCTCTTTCTCAGAATCATAATTTTAATATCGAGACCATACTACAACCAAGTGCCCACAGCTGGAGATCACCTTGGCGACTGTTCAGTAGTGCCAAAATGCCTGAGGTTAATTCATGACATGCATGATTAAGGAAAAATAAACGAATGGACAAAACAGAACAAACAAAACTCTCTCATCGTCTTGTTTTTAATTACAGAAGTTGCTGTATGTTTGCACAACTCTTTATAACAATTCAAAGAAACATATTATAGCACCATATGGAAGTGAACATATGTTTCCCTATAGCCTCTTCTATTCATAGCTTTATATCTAGCAGCAGCAGCAGCAGCACCGGCAGCAGGCGTGTGGATTCAAAAGTCATATTTCCTTTCACAAAACACTTCTTTTCTAAGATTTACATTCAGTATTTAATCGTTATATTACATCAAACGTGATTAAAAGTTCTGTTTCTGATTTGGTTGTGGGAGTGAGTTCCAGAGCTGCGGCGAAGGCTCGGCCCCCCAAGATTCGGTGTTTAGTCCTGAGGGGAGTGAGGAGGTTGGAGTCTGTGGATCTGAGGCGGCGGAGGCAGTGAGAATGGAGGAGGTCAGCGAGGTAGGAAGGGGCAGGTTATGGCGGTACTTGAAGGTGAGTAGGAGGACCTTGTATTTAATATGCAGTATGGAACAGGGAGCCAGAGAAGTTTTTTTAAATGAATCTTTTACTAGGATTTATAACCATAATTTCAGAACAAATAAACATAATTATTCTATGCCGAGCTGGGGATACACATTTACCTTGAACCTTTCAACATTTCGCCACATTTCAGGCTTCAAACATAAAGATATTAAAAAAATATTTTTTGTCATGAATCAACAAGTGGGACACAACCGTGAAGTGGAACGACATTTATTGGATAATTTAAACTTTTTTAACAAATAAAAAATTGAAAAGTGGGGCGTGCAATATTATTCGGCCCCTTTACTTTCAGTGCAGCAAACTCAGTCCAGAAGTTCAGTGAGGATCTTTGAATGATCCAATGTTGTCCTAAATGACTGATGATGATAAATAGAATGCACCTGTGTGTAATCAAGTCTCCGTATAAATGCACCTGCTCTTTGATAGTCTCAGGGTTCTGTTTAAAGCGCAGAGAGAACCATGAAGACAAAGAAACACACCAGGCAGGTCCGAGATACTGTTGTGGAGAAGTTTAAAGCCGGATTTGGATACAAAAAGATTTTCCAAGCTTTAAACATCTCAAGAAGCACTGTGCAAGCAATTATATTGAAATGGAAGGAGTATCAGACCACTGCAAATCTACCAAGACCCGGCCGTCCCTCCAAACTTTCATCTCAAACAAGGAAAAGACTGATCAGAGATGCAGCCAAGAGGCCCATGATCACTCTGGATGAACTGCAGATAACTACAGCTGAGGTGGGAGAGTCAACAATCAGTCGTGCACTACACAAATCTGGCCTTTATGGAAGAGTAGTAAGAAGAAAGCCATTTCTCAAAGATATTCATAAAAAGTCTCGTTTAAAGTTTGCCACAAGCTACTGGGAGACACACCAAACATGTGGAAGAAGGTGCTCTGGTCAGATGAAACCAAAATCGAACTTTTTGGCCACAATGCAAAACGGGCCTGCTTTTCTTCAGCAGGGACAGGGAAGATGGCTAAAATTGATGGGAAGATGGATGGTCCTGTATTTGGCTTCATTCTGGAAGACAACCTGTTGGAGTCTGCAAAAGACCTGAGACTGGGATGGAGATTTATCTTCCAACAGGACAATGATCCAAAACATAAAGCCAAATCTACAATGAAATGGTTCACAAATAGACGTATCCAGGTGTTAGAATGGCCAAGTCAAAGTCCAGACCTGAATCCAATCGAGAATTTGTGGAAAGAGCTGAAGACTGCTGTTCACAAACGCTCTCCATCCAACCTCACTGAGCTCCAGCTGTTTTGCAAGGAAGAATGGGCAAGAATTCCAGTCTCTCGATGTGCAAAACTGATAGAGCCATACCCCAAGCGATTTGCAGCTGTAATTGCAGCAAAAGGTGGCGCTACAAAGTATTCGCACAAGGGGGCCGAATAATATTGCACGCCCCATTTTTCAGTTTTTTATTTGTTAAAAAAGTTTAAATTATCCAATAGATTTCGTTCCACTTCACGATTGTGTCCCACTTGTTGATTCTTGACAATTTTTTTTAATTTTTTTATCTTTATGTTTGAAGCCTGAAATGTGGCGAAATGTTGAAAGGTTCAAGGGGGCCGAATACTTTCGCAAGGTACTGTATCTAAAAGTGAAACGCAAGATTTTTCATATGATTGTTTGATTGTTTTTCTGTTTTGTTAACCTGTGGGCAGCACCTTCAGAGCTGACAAACGTTTTGCCCGGGGAAAAGTCGATAAAAACAGTGCTGAGAAATGTTTTTAACCAAGGCTTAAAGTGTAAACAAAACGTTACACCCACACAGGCATCAAGCTGAGTTCAAGAAAGACCTGCATGACATGGAGGGAACAAGTTCAAAAGCCCATATCAAATACTTAAAATACACTGGAATATGTTGAAAAGGCTGTAACCAGACGAACCGAGAAAAAAACGTCTTATATCACATCCTATGTTTGATTTGCATAAAATATAATATCCATAATAATAATAATACTTGATGACATTTATCTACTCATGATTTCTCAAGGTAAAAATACATTGCTGTCTCACATTTGTATAAAGAACTCAACTCTTTGGGGAATACAGTTACATCTGAAGGTACTAAAACCATCAATCCATCTATTTTCTTCCGCTTCATCCATTGCTTTGTCGCCTGGGCAGCAGTCTAAGCAGAGACGCCCAGACTTCCCTATCCACACACACTTCCTCCAGCTCGTCCGAGGGGACCCTAAGATGTTCCCAGGCCAGCTGAGAGACGTAGTCCCTCCAGCGCGTCCTCGGCCTTTCCTGGGGCCGATCTATCTATCTATCTATCTATCTATGTGATTTCTCGCTGCAGACTTTGGGAGATCGCCATGGCAACACGGGACGCAAAGCTGTCTGCTGTTGTGACGCTGATGTAAATAAAGAATGTGGGTCTCAGTTCCCCGAATCGGGTACAAGCCTGATACCCGATACCAGTATTGGTATCGGCGCATCCCTAGTAAAAAAAGATTCATTTAAATAACTGTGGAGAGAATTTCAATTGTGAGAGAGTTCTTCAGTTTAGCTTGACTTTAGATGAAAAACTATTATTTTTAACGCATATGAGTGGCCCAGCTCTATATTTGTGGCTGTTTCTGTGATTTGTTTGTGTGGTGTCAGCATCAGACACACTATAGACACATCCCACACTGGAGTCTCTTCAACATTGCCCACTCTTCAAGGTCTTTGAAACAGGGCCAACATCAGGCGTTTATCCAGTTGTGTTTTCCAGGCCTTGCTGCCTTCATGTGCTCTGGTAATCATGGTAAATGGCTCACTCTATTCTAAACTGTACATGTGGGTCAATGACAAGAAAAAGTCCTGAAATGTCCGCGACCGCTACAGCCCAACGGTCAAAGCACCCACTCTTGTTTTTCCCCAGCTTGTTTGTCCAGTGAAGGCAGCACCACCTGAACATCAATTCGTTCATGTTCGTACTATTAATTGCTCTCTAGATAACTCTTTTGGACGTAAAAAGAAGTGTTTGTGATGTGTCCAGTTGTTTTTAATAAATAATCTTCCATTTCCTGTTAATACTTCCATTCACAAAGCCTCCTATATGTAACAATTGTGTCCCCAAAGTTCAATCCATTTTTTAAGAAAGGCATCATTTTTTTTCCAGGTTTTGAGCCTATCTGAGATTATCTTATGTATAAACCCATAAACGACATAATATTAAAGAAATATGAGGTACGAACGGTTTTGGTTCATATATTTATTGTATTGCACTTTCAACTGAAGCCCTGAAAAAAATTGTTGAGGCCAGAGTGGTCGAGATGAGAACATGCCATATCTCATTGTGCAGCTAAAAATCCAGTTGTCGACTTTTGGCACAACAGTTCGAGCGCTGATGAGAAAGTAGTTATTTGTCATTCAGCCAACTTCAGCTATGTCGAATGTGAATCACATTGGGCATAAATCTCAGAACAGCATGAATCCATTCAAGTTTTACGATCCGGCTCGTCGGCCCCCGGATGTCTGGTGAATGAAAGTGGATCTCTTGTCAAAGCGCTTGGACACCGTTGACTTAGACCGACTATGCTAATGTGGTCAGACTCATGCTAAGTGAAGATGTCCCACGCAAGAAGAATCCAAATTGTTTGATTTTTACACAACGAAAACCCGCCTCTTCAGGGGTTCACTTTACTTTTGATTTGCAATAGACAAACCACGACCCCTGTATCCTCACATCAACAAGTTCAAGTTCAAGTTATCTTTATTGTCCCACTGGGGGAATTTGGTTTTGCAGCAAACAATGATCTAAAAACAGGCAGACACAGAAAAATTACAACATTGAAGAAACAAGAGAGATTGTCACAAGG